CTGCTGCACCACCAAGGCTCCTTGATTTTGCTTGTTAGAAGGTCGCAAAAGGAGATCACTTGACCCCGGGGCACTGCAACTGTCATAAATTTGAGTCAGTTGCCAAGCATCCTAATTTTGATCACGTGACCATGGGGATGCTGCAACAATCATAAGTGTGAAAACAAATCATAAAAATTGTCACTAAATGAACTATGGTAAGTCAATTTATAACACTAAGCCAAGGATGTCGTATACAATATATCTAATACTCCTGGCCTCCTATTTTCCCCACAACAGCCCTGTGGTGTAGGTTCATTTGAGAGATAGTGATTGGCCCAAAGACACTCAGTCGGCATTCATTTATTACTCCTTTTTTCCATTTTATCTGCCTTGTTTAACTTCTTGTAGCCTTACTGAATTTTGATCATAATACATTTGATTGATTTCTTGATCCTTTTCAAGCAAGAGGAAGATTGGAATCCGGTGGGGAAATGTTCAGGTAAAATATGGAAATTAGCCACTTCCTAAGCAAATAAACACCTTCCTCTCGTACACTCATGTTTGCATACAGAGGAAGCCCAGAAATCTCCACATCCAGTCAAATAAGGTCGCGTACGAGGTCCAGCCCATTGAACTTTTCACCCTCTGTGTTTTCTAGCAATGCAGCCGCTTCCAGGAAAGGGTGTGATTTCAATTCCTCCGCTGCTGTGAGGAGAACTTTCTCCTCATTTGAATATTTGCAGCTTTTCTGTCTCCAAGCAGAACCTGGGAACTTGGAGCTAAGGGAGTTGACAAAACAGATAGTCCTCAACTTACGACCACAACGGAGACCAAAATTTCCACTGCTACGCAAGGCAGTTGCTAAGGGAGTTGTGCCTCGTTTTATGACCGTTTTTTGCCACAGTTTTTAAATGAATCACTGTAGTTGTTCAGCAAATCATGCAGTTGTTAAGCAAATCCTGGGTTTGCTTTTCGAAAGCCAGCTGGGAAGGTCACAAATTGGGATCTCATAATCCCGGGATACTGCAACTGTCACAAATACATGCCGGTTTGCCAAGCACCCAAATTTTGATCGCATGATCTGCAATATGAGTACATATTGTATGTAAATACAGGTAGTCCTTGACTTACGACCACAATTGAGCCCCAAATTTCTGTTGCTAAGTGAGACGGTTCTTAAGTAAATCTTGCACCTTTTTACTACTTTTTTTTGCCACAGTTGTTAAGCGAATCACTGCAGTTATTACAGTAAGTTAGGAATACGGTTGTAAAGTAAACCTGGCTTCTCCATTGACTTTGCTTGTTAGAAGGTCGCAAAAGGGGATGACTTGACCCCAGGACAGTGCAACCGTATCTATCAATTACATGGCGTACCACAACGAATAATTTCTGACGGGGGGGGTCTGTGTGTCCTAATTTACTTCTAAATTTGGACCTTCTAGGTACCGAACAAGGACTAGGTTCCAGTCATCATCCTCAGACAAATGGCAGAAACGAACGTAAGAACTCAGTTCTGAAACAATACCTTAGATCAGGGGTGTCAAACTTGCATCATCACGTGACGTGTTGTGACTTTCCCCCCCTTCATTAAACCGGGGGTGGGCCTGGCTAGATAGATACAGATTAACAGAGTTGGAAGGGACCTTGTAGGTCATGTAGTCCAACCCCTTGCCCAGCAGACCCTACACCATTTTTGACAGATGTCAGTCCAGTCTCTTCTTGAAAGCTTCCAGTGATGAAGCTCCCATGACTTCTGAAGGCAACCTGGGTATCCGGCTTGCAACCATTGTAAATATGAGTCCGTGGCCAAGGATCTGAATTTTGATCACAAGACCACGGAGATGCTGCAACCGTCATCAGTCACTTTTTTCAGTGGCAATTGTAACTTTAAACAATCGCTCAGTGAATGCTTCTAATTCGAGAAATACCTGTAACTACAATGTTGTCATCCATCTGATCGAGGAACTCCTCAGAAATTAAAGTGGACCAGTTCACTGATTGTGGATTATATTCAGGGGTGAAATCCAGCAGGTTCTGACAGGTTCTGGAGAACCGGTAGCAGAAATTTTGAGCAGTTCAGAGAACCGGCAAATATCATCTCTGGCTGGCCCCAGAGTGGGGTGGGAATGGAGATTTTGCAATATCCTTCCCCCAGGAGTGGGGAAGGAATGGGGATTTTGCAATATCCTTCCCCTGCCACACCCACCAAGCCACAACACGGCCACCAATCCACGCCCACAGAACCGGTAGTAAAAAAAATTTGGATTTCACCACTGATTCTATTTATGTGCACTGATACATCATTGAACATTTCACGTCAAGTATTCGTATTGTTTTATAAAGCCTTTCTTAGTAAGGCCACACCTGGAATGCTGCATCCAGTTTTGGTCACCACATTACAAAAAAGAATTTGAGACGTTGGAAAAAGTGCAAAGAAGAGCAACTAAGTTGGTTAAAGGCCTGGAGACAAAAACAGATGAAGAACGGTTGCAGGAACTGAGGAACTGGATATGGCTAGTCTAGAAAAAGGAAGGAGTAGGGGTGACATGATAGCAGAATTCCAGTATTTGAGAGGCTGCCACAAAAAGTACGGGGTCAAATTATTTTCCAAAGCACCTGAAGGCAGGACAAGAAACAATGGATGGAATCTAATCAAGGAGAGAAGCAACCTGGAATTGAGCAGAAACTTCCTAATAGGACAATTAACCAGTGGAACAGCTTTGCCTTCAGAAGTTGTGGGAGCTTCATCACTGGAGGTTTTTAAGAAGAGACTGGACAGTCACTTGTCTGAAATGGTATAGGATCTCCTGCTTGAGCAGGGGGCTGGACTAGAAGACCTCCAAGGTCCCTTCCAGCTCTATTCTGATTCTGATTTCCCCTATGGGTCCACAAGCGAATGCTACTCACTTAGCAAATTTCTCACTCAACCACATAAATTTTGGGCTCAATTGTGATTGCAAGTTGAGGACTACCTGTATTATGTAAAAAGTAAAAAGTTGAGGTTTCATGTTATTATTTTATTCTACTGCACCAAAGGAAGTCGGAAGTCAACACCTTTTTTTTTTCTTTCCCCTTTTTCCCATACTTTCCCCACCCTTTTCCCTCCCCTATCTTTCCTACTATTTTCTTTTGTATTTCTTTCTCTTGGAGTATTAATACATACATAAATAAAAACTTTGGTTAAAAGAACAAGTACCATGTTGCCCCAAAAATAAGACCCTGTTTTATATTTTTTTTGAACCCTGAAATAAGAGCTTGGCCTTATTTTCAGGGAGGTCTTATTATTTTGGGGCTCATGGAGGAAACCAGAGGAAATGGTGGGGACCGACTGTGCATGCGTTTAAATATTTTCATGGAGGGCTTATTTTCAGGGGGCGGCTTATTTTAGTGTATGCACTCAAAAGCCCGATTGGGCTTATTATCAGGGGAAACAGGGTAATGTGCAGATGATCTAAGGAGGCCACTGAAGTTAACTGCAAACAAAGATTAAGCAATATCTATATGCAAACACACACAAACACGCGCCTTGGCATCAATTACACTAACAGTTTAAAAAAGCAATTTCTGTGTGTAAATATAGTTAGGATATTCCTAGCTGTGGGAGTAGCCAATTCTGAGATAAAAATAAAGCTTTCTCTTTCCTTCTCTTTTCTGCTATTAACATAACGTTTTAAATTGGGGTATTTTAAATTTCGGGGATTTTAATTGGAGCCTAATTATTTAATGATTTTAAATTTTAACTGTTGTTTTGTTTCTGTGTTTTTAAATAGGCTGTACACCGCCCTGAGTCCTTCGGGAGAAGGGCGGTATAGAAATAAAATTATTATTATTATTATTATTATTTCCTTCCTTCCTTCCTTCCTTCCTTCCTTCCTTCCTTCCTTCCTTCCTTCCTTCCTTCCCTCCGTCCTCTTTCTTTCTTTTTTTCTCTTTCCTTCTTTCTTTCTTTTCTCTTTCTATTTTCTTTTCTCTTTCTGTTTTCTTCTACCTTCCCTCCCTCCCCCAAACTCTTTCCTTTAGCCACTCATCCCAACAAACAACTCTGGGTGTCTCACAATTAAAAAATATATAATAGAATTAAAATCTTTAAAACATTTTAAAACAATAAAAATAGTTAAAAACCATTAAAACAACGCAAAACATCAAAGCACTGTTATGTTCTGCCTTTTCTCCTACCCTCTCAAGTTGGTTTTGAAACTCAAATCTGCTTTAGAACTTTACCCATCCTATTGTGTATCATCTGCAAATTTATGCAGCATACACAATTCCCCCCCACAAATCATTATTTAAAAAATAAAGGTAGGAGACCCAGGACTGAGTCTAGTAGCATCCTTCCTAATCCCTCTTTCCAATTTGATGTGGGGGGGGGGGGAATTGCCAATCACTTAGCTAAACTGGAGCAGGAAAAAGTGCAGGAAACTGACTTGGTCCTTGGCAGAAATGGATGTGAAAGAGGAGAGGGAGAGGGAGAAGGAGAGAGAGAGAGAGAGAGGGAGGGAGGGAGGGAGGGAGGGAGGGAGAGAGAGAGAGAGAGAGAGAGAGAGAGAGAGAGAGAGAGAGAGAAACAAACAAACAAACAAACAAAGAAAGAAAGAAGGAAGGAAGGAAGGAAAGAAAAAGAAAGAAAGAAAGAAAGAAGAAGGAAGGAAGGAAAGAAAAAGAAAGAAAGAAAAAGAAAGAAAGAAAGAAAGAAGGAAGGAAGGAAGGAAGGAAAGAAGGAAGGAAAGAAGGAAGGAAGGAAGGAAGGAAAGAAAGAAACTCTCCATTTGGAGCCCTAGATGTATTTATAAATCCAGAAACTGTTTTGATTTGAAAGAAAGAGAAAGAAAGAAAGAAAGAAAAGAAAAACCCTGAAATGACTCCCCATTTGGAGGTCCAGAGACATATTTATAAAACCAGAAACTGTTTTGCTATGCAATGCTCCATTTTGAGTTTCCATAAATGTAAATGTAAATGCAAAGTTTCCAGAAATGGCCTCGGGGGATAACCAGGGTTCGGTTAGGGTTCTGGGTAGAAAAGCTGCTTTTAACTACCCGGGCTGATCTCCGAAAACGCTTGATTTACAGGAATCGCTGCAAAGCAGAAATTGAAAGTAACAAGGCCTGCATTAAAAAGGACTCGCGGCTGCCTGAACTCCACAAGCATCGCAGATACTCGCAAGAGCGAATAGCCGATTTCGACTCCCGTCCAGTGTGAACTTCAAAACGTTGCCGACGTGAGTCTCTCTTTTGGGGTGGGGTGGGTGAGGCGGGGGGAATGTTTTTTATGATGGTGCTCACGGCTTCTTTTACGAACAGATGAGCGTCCAGAGGGTTGTGTCCTTAAGGGCAGGGGTCTCCAACCTTGCCAACTTTAAGACTTGTGGACTCCAACTCCCCAAATTCCTCAGCCAGCTTTGCTGGGAGTTGGAGTCCACAAGTCTTAAAGTTGACAAGGTTGGAGACCCCCTGCTTAAGGGAGCATAAAACTTCCCCCTCATGAGGCGGAAAATGCAGAATATCGCGGGGCAAAGCCAAGAGATGGGCTGATTTTCTGGTTATGGACGGCGCACTCAATGAAAGCCCCGTGAGGGGGATGGAGACAGATTGTGTAGTGAAAGAGGGGGGCGTCCTCACATGAAATGGGGGGCGGGGGGAGACCCAGGAAGCCAGGATTCAGCCAAAAGCTGAAAATTACATGTCACTGTGCTTGCTTCACAAGGTGATGTCAAAATTGATATTTTCAGCAGTAGTTCAAAACTAGCTGAAAAGGGTCATTGCTGAGCTCAGAGCAAGGAAGCTGAGAAAACAGTCTGTGTGTGTTCAGGGTTTGGGAGTCAGATTGTGGCGAGAATGTAGTTTTAAGCTTGCTTCTCTTCACCTTCCCTGAATTCACAAAACAAGGTGGCTTTTCTCCCCCTTAAATCTCACCTGTGGATGAAATCTATCAGTAGTTGTACTTTAACTTTTAACAGATTCTTGGGTGTCAGAGGAATCTCTTGAATCTTGAATCAACATCAGAATCTTGAATCAACATTTATTTATTTATTTTATTTTATTTTATTTTATTTACATACCGCCTTTCTCCATCAGAAAGGAGTGGAAGAGAAATCCAAAGAAACAAGATAGTTCCTTTGCTTATCTCCTTTATGCATTCAGTTAATACTTAACTATTTATTTATTCAAGGTATAATAAGCCAAGTTTCTCCTGGGGGTGGGAGGAGGAACTTACATTGAAAGAAGTGAATGTGTTTCCAATTAATATACTGGAAAGTTTGAAGCCCAGGTGAGCCAAGGTGGCGCAGTGGTTAGAGTGCAGTACTGCAGCTACTTCAGCTGACTGCTAGTTCAGCAGATCAGCGGATCAAATCTCACCGGCTCAAGGTTGACTCAGCCTTCCATCCTTCCGAGGTGGGTAAAATGAGGACCCAGATTGTTGGGGGCAATATGCTATTTAGTATACTGTCTTTGGTGTAAGCCGCCCAGAGTCCTCGGAGAGTGGGCGGCATAGAAATATGACTAATAAAAAAAAGAATAATAAAACAATAATGAATTTGTCTGTGAAAATATTTGGATACACGGCAGTGATGGGATTCAAAATTCTGTGGAGGTGGCTTGGTGGGCGTGGCAGGGGAAGGATACTGTAAAATCTCCATTCCCTCCCCACTCCAGGGGAAGGTTACTACAAAATCCCCATTTCCTCCCGATCAACTGGGACTCAGGAGGCAGAATATAGATGGGGGCGGGGCCAGTCAGAGGTAATATTTACCGGTTCTCCAAACTACTCAAAATTTCCGCTACCGGTTCTCCAAAACTGGTCAGAACCTGCTGAATACCACCTCTGATACACAGATAGTTCTCAGCTTACAATCACAATTGAGCCCAACATTTCCATTGCTAAGTAAGACAGTTATTAAGTGAGGTTTGCCCCATTTTACGATCTTTCTTGCCATGGTTGTTAAATGAATCATTGCAGTCGTTATCTGCAATGTTGTTAACACTGTTGTTAAGTGAATCTGGCTTCCCCATTGATTTCGCTTGTCAGAATTTTGATCACCTGTGCCCAGGGAGTGTGGGGATGCTGCAATGGTTATAAGTGTGAAAAAACGGTCATATGTCACTTTTTTCAGTGTTGTTGTAAGTCTGAATGGTCCCTAAATGAATGGTTGTAACTTGAGGATTATCTGTGTTGTGGTTTTACTGTGGCACTAAAGATTAACATTTATTCTTTGAAGAATGAATATATCTGAGACTTCAAACTTTGGTTAAACAGAATTGGTCAACTCTTAATCTTTGAATAGATTATGTATTGCCAAATCAGATAACAGGTCTCCATACAATCTTGGTTTCATTTGTTCAAACATTGACTCTAATGATTTGAATAACTACAGTTTCACTGGTTTTGGCATACTAGGCAAGTAGAAAATATTACTTGTATATTGGCCTGCATTTTTTTCTTTATAGTTTCTTTTTTTTTTTTCTTTTAGCTTTACTGTTTAGTTTTTTTTAATCATATCGCTGTTTTCAGTTATTTAGATTGAAGTATAACAATACAGTATTCAAATAGTGGTAAAACAACGTGTAATAAACAATATTTAATTAATGTTTATTAAATTAATATTTGATTAAAAAATTTTCTCTCCAGATGTGTTGGATATTAATTCTGTAAATTTCTAGTGAATGTGGCCATTGGGTTGACTTTGGAGCTATAATCCAACATTTCTGAGAGAAGCAAGCTAGGAACATGTGAAACAAAGGTTCAGAAGTGAATTTCTAAATCTAATTCATGAAAATGTAGCAAGTCAGGCCAATTTTGCATTGTAGGAGATAAGCAGGCTGAGCCTGAGGGAGGGGCCAAGCATGTCATCAGCCTCGAATCCCAAGTCCCTTCGTACCCACAAGAGATCTAAGTCCAGCCATTCTTGAATTCCATTGATCTTTATCATCAATTTGCCTTAGCGGTTGGTAATTCAAATTCTTGTGGAGAGTGTTAGCATGCAATAAAGTTGTAAACTTTCAACCGCCTCAGCTCCTGATTTCCTGTGCTTGACATGCATATTTCTGAAAAGGAAATTGGTGTCAGTAAAAAAAAAAGTTATGAGTGTGTTCAGAGGTGGGTTCTAAATTTTTTTACTACCGGTTCTGTGGGCCTGGCTTATTTTGTGGGTGTGGCTTGGTGGTCATGTGACAATTCTTTAGGATTTAGCAGAGGTCTACCAGGCTTTTAACCGCTTGCAGAGCTGTACCGGTCTACCCATTTGTTTTTGGAGGCACCGGTCTACTCATTTGTTTTTGCATGCACTGGTCTACCCATTTATTTTTGCAGGCACCGGTCTACTCATTTGTTTTTGCAGGCACTGGTCTACCCATTTATTTTTGCAGGCACCGGTCTACTCATCTGTTTTCTTTTAACACTGATCAGCTGTAGGGCGGCCCTTTGAAGCCCCACAGCAAGAGTTTAAACAGGATTTTTCCCTCTAGCCATCAGCTGGGACTCAGGAGGCAGCAATAGATTGGGGGTGGGGCCAAATAAAAGGTAAGAATAATGCAGGGGGGGCAGGGGGCAGAATCGGTTCGGTGACGTCATATCATCACTGCTACCAGCTCGGCGGAACCGGACCAAACCGGGAGGAACCCACCACTGAGTGTGTTATCCTGGATGTGGCAAAGTCTTCTAAAAACTCTAAGGTCCCTGGGATCTTTTCCAACCCAGGTATTCCAGAGACTACAATTTTCAACCGTTCAACCTTTCCTCTTTTTTTTTTTGTTTTATCTAGGCTGAAATGGCTGTCCAGCCCAAAAGCGCACTTGCTACCCAAGCCATAATGAACATCAGCAAAGCAGAGGAAGTCCGAAAAGAGACAGAACTGATGATGAAGCCCCACGCGAACTGGGAGGAGTATCTGATGCCTGGGCCCATCTCCATCGCCATCTTAGGGGAGCTGGCTTGCATTGCTGCAGGACAAGGAGACTTTGCCATCAATCTTGCCCCACCCCAGGGAGGCTACAAATATATGAGGTATCCGGACTCTTTCCAAGCTTCCCTAATGCAGGTCAGCAACAGTGGTTGGCATGCCTTCAGCATCGCCCACAAGAATATGGATGGCATCCGGCTCCTTTCTATGAGCGTCCCTGAGCAAATCAAGATGGTCATCAAGACCTTATTCCAGGATGACCTTACCTTGATAGATGCCTTGCTCCCTGGACAACTATCCAGCCTGAAATCGATTGCAAACGAATGTTCCTCTTTAGCTAAGGCAGTTGACAATAAGTTCAATGACGTCATCTGTCTGATTGGGGAAGTCCTGGAAGTGTGTACAAGTTCCAAATCGCAGTACGAACAAGGGTTGACAGAAACCAAGCGCGCCTTGGAAGACCTGAAACTAAGGAAGGCAGCAGCTGAAGACGCCCAGGGGAAAGCAGAGGACTATTACAAAGAAATAAAGAACAGAGTGACCGAAACGTTTGATGATTACAGAAAAGCGATCGATAGCATTCCTACTGGCTGGAATGCTGTCATTCTGGAATTCACTTCGACTATACGAGAAACCTTGACGTTGCCAATTGCCCATCTGACATCCTTTCTCAGCTTTAAGGAAAATACGTTGCCTATTCCAATCCACAGCAGAAGTGAGGAAGGTTGTGAAAGTGAGAATGACTTTATAGCCATGAACAACATCTCTGCCCTGTCAGCTCAAATGCTGAAATTGGTGGACGTCCTTCAAACCATGGTGGATGATGAAGGTAATATTGACATGGATCTCCTCTACAATAAAAAACACAATGAAATCACAACCGTATGGACCAAAAAGAGATCTCAGCAACTGTTAGCAAAAATAAAAAAAGAAGGAAAGTGCAGCATGAAAAATTTGGCAGTGAAAATATGTAATTATATAATAGATATTTCCAATATATTAATTGAAGCAGTAGCGTCAGGGGAAGTAAACAAGAAAAAACTGATAAAGAAAATGGGCGTTCTCTCAGATGATATTGTTGTTTTCGATAGCAGAAGCAAGTCCTGTAACCGCACGTCCCCTTTTAGTCCCTTGGCGCCAAATATGGCCAAATCCCAGAAAAACATTCAAGAGGAGTCGACGTCAGCGGTGAAAAACAGCGTTTTGAAAATAGAGCAAACGAAAGAAATACTGAAGATAAGTCAAGAAGAATACCAAAAAAGTTTTGACAACTTAAAGCAGCAAAATAAGGATTTGCTGGATGTGCTCAGTGAAATGAGGAAGTGTGAAACAAAGGAGATTGATTTTGAAAAAGCCAAACAGATGCTGATCAAAGGCCTGGATGCCATGGGAAGAGTGAAGGAGCAGTGGGAGAAAATGGTGCGTTTCTTCCAGATGATCTCCAACCTCATTGATTCCTGTCTCAATAAACGCCTAACAGAATTTGTGAAATCAGCTGAAGATCTTCCCAAAATTCCGAATTACTCCCACAAAGACTTTGTCATAGATATGATCTATAAACAGGCCTTCAATGCATCCAACATTGCTCACTTGGTGCACATGATATCTGAGACCTACACTGAGGTGTCTTCAAAATACTTGATGGATAAAGTGGGCAGCCTGAGTAGGCTTATTTCCATGGACCCTTCCGATCCCCAATTCCGAATGGAGCGTATGAAACTAGCAGATGGCTGTGACAGTGCCCGACAAGCCATAGAGAACTTGGTCATTAAGCAAAAGAAAGAATTCGAATATAATATCCATGCCAGAGTGACAAAAATCAATTCTGAGCTGAAGGCTGTCTTGCCGGAAGTGCCCGAAGCAGAGAGAAAAGCTATTGAACATAATGTGCACAAAGGGATGAGGGAAATCACCCAGGATGAAGCCGATCAATTTATGTAGACTTGTCTTTCAACCCTTGAGGGAAATGGAGGCTGTCTGGGCTCTTCTCTATTATTGTATTTCCCTCAGAGTAATAGAATGTAAATTGGGCCATTCGGTCATCTTGTATTTGGTAAAACTAGAAAAGAAACAGCTAGAGATATTGTTGTTCAGGAACCTTTCAAAAAATAATCTTGGCCAACCATTTCTGAGGTGGGGGCTCATGTTAGCTTCTACTAAATACTTCTATTTTCATTTTTTCTTTATACACATTACCTCTTCTCTTATCTTCTTTCAATTTGTATGGACCGATACCTCTACCTCTGCCTGCTGATCTGCTAGCTGGTTGTCTATCCTACCATTCCTCTCTTTTTGGGCTATTTCTAATGGAGGAAAAGCTGAAGTGTATCTCGTGTGCTTCTCTTTTTCCATAATTTGTGTGTCTATGATAGAGAAAAGGGTTGGGATACGTACAGTAAGTAGCTTGAGATCTATATTAAAAAAACAATGTCCATTCATTCATTGCTATTAATTCTGTTGTCATTGCAGGTTTCCCTCATTTTTGAAGTGATGGTACAATCAAGTATGAATCTCTCTCTCTCTCTCTCTCTCTCACACACACACACACACACACACATCTATGTGCACACATTAATGGGGGAATGAATAGAATGCCTACATTTTTTTTCTGGGGTTGGCAATTTTAGGCCTGTATTTCTTTGGAGATGCTTATCGATTAACAGAATAACAGAGGGACCTTAGAGGTCTTCTAGTCCAATCCCCTGCTGGGTCCAACAGCCTGATCTATCATCTCTTACAGAGATGAGTGCTTGGATTACTATGCCCACTGAAATATAAGTGATAGGTCCTCAGTCTTCCTGGCTTCTTGAGTCTTTCTAGCATCTTTTCATATGATGCTGAGAATGCGAGAATGGTCAGATTCTAACAACCACTCCTAGTTTACTTTCTGCAAATAAACTTTAAGATAGCAAATATTAAGAACAAGGGATTTTTTTTTTACTTTTTAGAGAAGGGGATCTCTTTTCATCAAGGACCAAATGGTAAAAATGTACCTAACGAGGAAAAGAGTGCCAGCTTAGAGAGATAGTCTTCAAGTACTTTTAGATGATACGTTTCCAGGAAATCAAGAGAAAGAGGTTGACCAATCAGCCCGGATGAACAGAGTAATTAAATACTGAGTTTTGGGCTAAACCAGGGGTGTCAAACTCAAGGCCCGCGGGCTGGATGTAGCCCATGGGGTGCTTAAATCCAGCCCATAGGGCCGGGCTGAAAATATCAAAGGACCGACTCGTGGTGCCTCTGCTGGCCAAAACGGGCCGCGTGCGGCCTCCCTGTGGCCCGTTTTTGGCCTCCCCGGCCTCCAGCACCACTCTGCCATCTCCACATGGCCCATTTTTGGCCAGCAGAGTGTTGCTTGACGCCCTGGCAGGCCAAAAACGGGCCGTGTGGGGGCCTCAGGAGGCCTCAACGCAGCCCAATTTTAGCCGGCAGGGTGCTGCAGGAGGCCGTTCAGCCATTTTGGCTGGCTGGTGCTGCAGGAGGCATCCATCCTGTCTCCCCCACCCCACCCCGCTGGCCCGTGGAGGAGAACTACAATGCTGATCTGGCCCTCGAAGAAATCCAGTTTGACACCCCTGGGTTAAACAGTTCCAAATAATAATTTCTTTTATTTGGTTAATCGTACAAGTTTTAACTGCTAATACACTCTGTTTTTTTATATATATTGTTGTAATCTTAAATCAGCTAAATAAGATTTTTAACTTTTTGCCTTTCAGTTGTTACTTTTACATTTTAATATTTGTCTCTTTTATTTTATTGATTCGTTAAGAGTTTTTCTACCACGTATAAGAACTATGTTAATCATCTGAAGTTACTAAACATTATACTAAATAGCTATCCTAACGTTACTTGCTTTTATGCTAAAAATAGTCAATAAATGTCTATTCTCTAAAATTGCCCTGGGTTTCATATCTTGTTGACTTAACATACCATAACATGAGAGCTCAGAATACAGCAGAGTTTCTAAATGTCTATGGAGATTCTCAGTCATCCAGGTCATGGTTGTCCCAAAGGTGCTTTTTCAAGGGGCAACTGGACTTTCTTTGTTTTTCTTTGAAGACATTTCGCTGAAGAACTTCTTCGATGAGAAGCGAAACGTCTTCAAAGAAAAACAAAGAAAGTCCAGTTGCCCCTTGAAAAAGCACCTTTGGGACACAGTTGGGACAATGGTGTGAATATTACGGGCAGCCTACATTTCCACCATTCTGTTTACCAGATCTTGAAAACAAAAATATATGTGGGAAGGATACAGTGATAAGGATTTTTTCCTTGATGGGATGGAAACTAAAGTATGTTTGGTAAGGCATATTTTTAGTGGTAAAAGTTACAAAAAATAACAATGAATAGTGTGCAGAGTTCTCTAGTTCCAGGTAAGGCTCTCTCACCTGGCGCTTGGTAGGAGGCAGTGGCGATGGATGGAAAGTCAAAGTACCCTTGTGTCTTCGGTTTGGAAACAAAGTTGTTGTTTCTAAATAATGGTAATCCAACAGAAATCAATTTTCCAGCCTCGAATATGCAAGGGGAAATCAATCTCAGTCTTGCATGGATTGCACTCTGTACGTGTAGAAGACAGTCAAGGAAATCTTAAGGCAAAATTGAAGAATTGAAGTAGATGAACATACCTCAGGGAGTTGTAAAGTATGGTGTGTAAAAGTATTGCAAAAGTTCTGAAAACTTTCTATCTCACCAGGCTCAAGGTTGACTCAGCCTTCCATCCTTCCGAGGTAGGTGAAATGAGGACCCGGATTGTGGGGGCAATAAACTGACTTTGTATAAAAAAGAACACCGCTTGGGGGGGGCAAAAGCCCTACTAAGCAGGTATATACAAAAGTATGAAGGCTATTGCTTAATGCATTGTAAGCCGCCCTGAGTCTCCGGAGAAGGGAGGCATATAAATCGAACCAATAAATAAATAAATAAATAAATTTTCTGTGAAGCTTTGCACTCTCCATCTGTCAATCATCATCCCCCCCCCACTATTAAAATTGGGGAGGCGGTTGCTTGAGCTATAGGAAAACATGGAGCCGGTTTGGTCTAGTACAGTGATGGTTAACCTTTTTGCCATCGTGTGCCAAAAGCGGGGAGAGTGCAGGGGGGTCTTGCGCGCGTGTGCCCACACCCATAATTCAATGTCCCCCTGTGCCCTTCCCCCTGCGCATGCACGCGTGACCCCCCCCCACGCTCCCCCTGCTTTTGGCACGTGATGGCACGGTGGGCCTGGTAGGCCTGTTTTTCACCCTCCCCGGGCTCCAGAGGTTTTCTTGGAGCCTGGAGAGAGTGAAAACGGCCTGCCCCACCCCCGCCACGGAGGCCCTCCGGAGGCTGGAAACGGCTCATTTCCCGACTTCCAGTGGGCCCAGAAGGCCCGAAAATCAGCTGGCTGGCACACACATGCATGCTGGAGCTAAGCTAGTGCAACGCTCACATGCCCACAGATATGGCTTCACATGCCACCTGTGGCACGCGTGCCATAGGTTCGCCATCACGGGTCTAGTAGTTAAGGCACTAGGCTAGAAAGCAAGAGAGTATGAGTTCTAGTCCCACCTTCAGCATGAATGCCGGCGGAGCGATTTGGGGCCAATCACCAGGTGATTGTGAGTTCTAGTCCTGCCTCAGGACTGAAAGCCAGCTGAGTGACTTTAGGCCAATTACCAGGAGACTCTGAGTTTTAGTCCTGCCTTCTCCATGAAAGCCAGCTGGGTGGCCTTGGCCAATCACTCTCATTCAACCCAACCCACCTGGGAGAAAATAGGAGGAAGGGATATTGTGTGCCCCCCCCCCCGCCCCGCCTTTTGTTATTTGTAAAAATAATAAAGGGGGGATAAAAATAAATCAATCAATAAAGCCAGATGCCAGCAATACATTCTCTTTCTGATCACTCCTAGCTGTTTTGGAGAGACAATAAGTGCCTGTAGTGGCATTTTGGAGTCCATTGTATGCTGCGGAGTTCAGTGACAAATTTTGATTTCTCTTTCATGTTAGGAAAAGTCTAGAAGTTTATAGCCCATTCTGATCCTGTTTCTTTTGCTGAACAAAAGAAGGGGAGAGGAATCTTCACACAGCTGCAGAGAGCACTGCCTTATCAGGCTTTTGGTCCCATTCCAGAGTTATCTCACCAAGGCCAGGTCATGCTGTCTCCTGAGCTGGAGGCCATGAAATCTTGAGGCCGAATTTTAATAAACCCCTGAAAATTGCTCACTAGGATTGAGCCTCCGCACAGGCTCAGTGCTGTGCACCAAGGACCTTGGAGTATCTCCGCTGCTTGAAAATGAGGCTCCCAGCAGCTCAAGGAACCGCATCTTACTCAGCTGGCTGCAATGTGTGGTGTACCCCAAGCAGCGTGACTTTATCATAGTCCACAGATTCTGGCTGCTGGATCTCACAAGGGTCTCCCAGTAAAAAGAAACAGCATGAGTACTGAAAATAAAAACAGTGGTTAATACTGTATTCTGTTACACTACAGGAAATAAATAAAAACCTTGCTTAATACGTTGCTTTTTTGTCTGTCTGTTTTATTGACTTGCTGTAGTGTTAACCCAAAGGCTTAAAATTCTCCTTAGCTGCTGGTTTGTTCATTATCTCCAGATCCTAAAAAGAACCATTTCTCTGGCACCTGGCCAATACCTGGCACTTGGCAAAACAGCATTAGCTATTTACTCATGAACCACACATCTTACGAGCGCAGAGGATTTTCCACACCCCAGCAATTGATTCACAAAATTGCCCAAACTTACTTTGTAAGGGGCACACCAACCTTTGCCATGACACTCACTGGTTTCATTCCATTTTACAGCTACATGCTTTACTCATGATCATTCCTTCATTCTAACTTATTGTAAACAAGAAGAACAGATCTTGACAGACTTGAACATTGGGCGCTGTCTAACAAAATGAAATTCAATGGTGAAAAAAATAAGGTTCTACATTTAGGCATGAAAAACAAAATGCACAGGTACAGTATATGTGGTACCTCACTCAATAGTAGCAACTGTGAGGGGGATCTTGAAGACCTAGTGGACAATCACTTAAATATGAGCCAGCAGAGTGCAGCAGCTTGCAAAAAAGCCAATACAGTTCTAGGCTTCATAAACAGACAGATAGAATCACATGATGTGTTAATACCACTTTATAATAGCTTGCTAAGGCCACACTTAGAATACTGCATCCAGTTTTGGTCACCACAATGTAAAAAAGATGGTGAGATTCTAGAAAGAGGGCAGAAAAGAGCAACAAAGATGATTAGGGGACTGGAGGTTAAAACATATAAAGAATGGTTGCTGGAATTGGATATGTCTAGTTTGATGAAAAGAAGGACTAGGGTGTCATCATAGCAGTGTTCCAATATCTCAGGGGCTGCCACAAAGAAGAGGGAGTCAAACTATTCTCCAAAGCACCTGAAGGCAGGACAAAAAGCAATGGGTGGAAACTAATCAAGGAGAGAAGCAACTTAGAACTAAGCAGAAATTTCCTGACAGTTAGAACAATTAATCAGTGGAACAACTTGCTTACAGAAGTTGTGAATGTTCCAACACTGAAAGTTTTTAAGAAGAGATTGGATAACCATTTGTCTGAAGTGGTGTAGGGTTTCCTGCCTAAGCAGGGGGTTGGACTAGAAGACCTCCAAAGTCCCTTCCTTCTCTTCTTTTCTCTTCTCTTCTCTTCTCTTCTCTTCTATTCTATTCTATTCTATTCTATTCTATTCTATTGGAATTCTGGAAAATAAAGTCCACACATCTTAAAAGTGGTCAGTTTTGAGAAACATGGATCTAGGAGGTGGAATAATCAGAGTCCCGGTTGCATATCTCTGCAGAAATTGCACAGATACTATTGCTTGATCAAGTATATTTTTTAGATGGTCCTCCTTGACTGTTGGCTGATAGAATTTCCTTCCCCAGCCCTAGGGGAAAACACTTGTATAGCTCAGGGTGTACTATTAAGGCTGGCCAGGATTTTTTGGGCTTTAGAGGAAAACAGAGTCATGAGAATGCAGCAGCAGAAAACAAATGCTGGAGTTCCTGTCAATCAAATGCAAGGGGAAAAAGACTCAGAGAAATGGAGAGCTAGAGAGGCCCCTAAGTCACTGGCCGGCGTGGTACAGGAGTATACATCGGCCTTCCCCAATAGATGGCAGTCCTGCCCCACTTAGTCTTAGCGCAAACAGTGATAGGGAACCATGGCTGGGTCATTGCTCTACTTTAAACTGCCCTTAGAATATCCCAAAGGTGCTTTTTCAAGAGGCAACTGGACTGTCTGATTTTTCTTTGAAGACGTTTCGCTTCTCATCCAAAAAGCTTTTCCAGGTCTGAAGATGAGAAGTTTCTTGGATGAGAAGTGAAACGTCTTCAAAGAAAAATCAGACAGTCCAGTTGCCTCTTGAAAAAGCACCTTTAGGACAACCATGACCTGGATGACTGAGAATCTCCATAGATATTGCCTAGAATGGAATAGAATAGAATAGAATAGAATAGAATAGAATAGAATAGAATAGAATAGAATAGAAGCTGGAAGGGACCTTGGAGGTCTTCTAGTCCAACCCCCTGCCCAAGCAGGAGAACCTCACAATGTTGAGAAACAATATCAGGAGTCCTTTGAAGCAAATTGCTCATGTTGTTTTGATAGAGGGAACAATACTATCTCCAGACTGCAATTCTCTTCAGTGATATGACTTTAGGTCTCCTGGTCTGCTCTGGGAAGCTAAGCAACGTTGGCTGGTTGTTATTGGGATAGGGGGCCACTAAGAGATCTGAAGGTAGACAGCTAAACTAGGAAATTGGAAAAATATCCCCAAAGGAGGAGGTGACAAACCCAGTTAGCTATAGTTGCCAAGAAAGCCAGGCAAATATATCCAAGAAGTCACCAGGAGCTGAGTTCGGCTCAAACAAGGTTTTACTTCAGACTGAAAGGAGAAGCACCCCAACATAAATGTCATCATTTTGGTAGCTTTGAGCAAGCCTTTGTGCTTTCCTGCTTTCCGCTTTAAATACGGGGAAGAGGATCAACTGGCCTCTCTTGCAGGGCTGTTGTAAAATTTCAGTTCATGTTAGACAATGAAACAAAACAGAGATCAGACTTTGCTAAGGAGTTTTCCAATTTTTATTGCCCTGAATCTTTGGATCCCACACATAGGATTAAGGGCATGAAATAAATACACGAGCACACACACAGTTCATATACATTTCTCGTACTAGTCAAATGGTTGGATGAAAAGAATATTACGCTCCAACAGCTGAAAGGGCCTAATAGTTACTATGCTCTTAGTAGATACGTTCCAACAGGTCCATAAATGTCATTCTTTTCTCTACTTTAGTTTTAGCACCTAAAGCTTTCGGTTTCTTTGTTCTTCAACGCTCAAGCTATTTTCATCTAGATCCAGTTTCCTGCAAGAAAGGAAAAACTTTAAAAACTTTCTTAGAATAGACTACTGCCTTGCCAAAAATGGAGTCACATTTACTGTTTATCTGTGGCAAAGTTTTTTTGCATTAGCTCCTACGGCTGCCTCTTTTATTCAAACCAGGCCTGCTGCATGAAACCACCTAATTTTATTGAACAATGCAAAAACACCCATTCTTCTTCTTTTTGGCTTCTTAGGATATTCCCACAGCAGCTTTCTTTTACCTGGCCTTCTCCAGATGTTTTGCTGCTGTGAGACTACTAGGCCAAAGCTACCATATCTAAAGATAGGTAACTAAAGATGGTGGGGAATGGAAGGATTTATACTCCGTCCAGTCAGAGCTGAAGAAGCTTCTTGGATGAGAAGCAAAACTTCTTCAAAGAAAAACCAGAAAGTCCAGTTGCCTCAGCGGAGTATAATCAAGATCATGTGAAGTGTTAATACCACTTTATAATGCCTTGGTAAGGCCACACTTAGAATATTGCATTCAGTTTTGGTCGCCATGATGTAAAAAAGATGTGGAGACTCTAGAAAGAGTGCAGAGAAGAGCAACAAAGATGATTAGGGGATTGGAGGCTAAAACATATGAAGAACGGTTGCAGCAACTGGGTATGTCTAGTTTAATGAAAAGAAGGACTAGGGGAGACATGATAGCAGTGTTCCAGTATCTCAGGGGTTGCCACAAAGAAGAAGGAGTCAAACTATTCTTCAAAGCACCTGAGGGTAGAACAAGAAGCAATGGGTGGAAACTAATCAAGGAGAGAAGCAACTTAGAACTAAGGAGAAATTTCCTGACAGTGAGTACAATTAATCAGTGGAACAGCTTGTCTCCAGAAGTTGTGAATGCTCCAACCCTGGAAGTTTTTAAGAAGATGTTGGATAAGCATTTGTCTGAAGTGGTGTAGGGTTTCCTGACTGGGCAGGGGGTTGGACTAGAAGACCTCCAAGGTCCCTTCCAACTCTGTTATTCTATTCTATTCTCTTGAAAAAGCATCTTTGAGCTAACCATGACCTGGATGACCGAATATCTCCATAGACTTTCAGAACCTGTTAACTTCTAACACTTCACTGTATTCTGAGACAGGACAATGAAAGGGTTTCAATAGCATGATTGTACACATAGGAATGATTTGAGTTCCCATGACACGCTAAATTCGCTTAACTTGGGAACCCTCCTAGCATGATCTGGCTTCTGAAGCACTCATTCCAGTTGCAGGCAGTGTGAGAAGTCAAGACAACTGATTTAACTGCATATAGTCATCTTAAATTCACATGGATAAAGTCCTTCACAAGAGGACTTGTGGGGAAACACACCTTTGTGTGATACTGCTGGAGGCGTGTAAGATGCCAGTGAAGAACACACTGAGGGCACAGTGGGAGGAGACCTTCTTGGCCAAAAGGAAGCTGGGTGGGGGAAGATTTTTTCTTCTTCTCCTTCTTTCCATGAGAGGAGCCATGGCTACTGCTGATGCTGCTGGAGCTGCTGCTAACTCAACTCTCTGTGAGGTCCACAACAAACCTCTGAAGTTCTTTTGCCAAAATGAGTTGGCTTTGATCTGCGCCCAGTGTGCCAAAAGCAAGAAGCATCACACTCACACTATTCTCCCCATGGAAGAAGCAGCCCAAAAAAAGAAGGTGAGTCAGCGGTTGGCTTTTCTAGACAATTTTGGGATCTCCTTGGCATCTCATTCCAGGTACGTTCATAAAAGAGGTGAGGTTCTTCAAGGATTGCAAGCTTGGAATTCTGGCTGGGAAGCTTGGAAGATGAAGCCACCAGTCCAGCAGGCAGCAAATTGAGAAAAATAACTCTTTGTAAAGCATCCTGAACAAACCTTTGAGTATCCTAACTTGACTGTAGATCGTAGCAATTACTCCGGTGTTTATTTAGAAAAATAGGCAGGAGGTGCAGGATATATGCAATATAAACCTTTGCATGTGCTTCTAAACTTTGGCAAAAGGACCAGGGAAACAGAACAAATGAAATATTTTGCTTTGAATCCCTTCATCCTACTAGGACTGGTAATAAGTGTAAGAGCTGGAAGAAAATATCTTCTTGGTATCTCCAAGTAAAGCTATAAATTACTCTTCCAGAGTTTCTTAACATGTTATCTATCTAGTTCCACTATGGATTATAAAAGTCAGAAATTCTAACTACCGTTAGGAAATCACCAGGAATCACCGAAGAGCATATTTCTCTCTCTCCGTGTGTGTATTTTTTAAAATAAAATTTTATACATAGATAATTAAAAATTAGTAGAAACTAATATAGAGAAAGAGAAAAAATCTGGGAAGAAAGGAAGGGAGAGAGGAAGGAAAAGAGACAAAGAAAGAAAGAAAGAAAGAAAGAAAGAAAGAAAGAAAGAAAGAAAGAAAGAAAGAAAGAAAGAAAGAAATCTAATATTTATAGCATTTATAAGTACAATTATAAATTTACCTCTGGCTCTATAGCATAACCTATGCTAACTATCAAAACTGTAAACTCTTAAGTTCATTTTTTTCTGTTTCATGCAAAACGTCTATGGGGTTTCCAGTCAGCACATCATTTTATCATTTTTCAAAGGGTATTAATAGGTATTAATTTTCCTATTAAGAAGAAAAGAACTGCAACTGCTGTGGCTTTATCCAGCACCCCCTTGAGGGCCCAGATTAGAGTTCGGCCACCACCACCTCCTCCTCTTCAGTTTTCCCCCCCATTCAGACGAGATTCTTGCAAGGAAGGTGGGGTTGAGTCTCAGCTTCCAGTAAATCTCCCTTCCTTCAACCTGAGCAAGAGGCACCCACCAGCACCAGAACAAAAGAAACTCTGAGATTTCCCCTTTCTTTGTTATTCCGTTGGGCTGCAGGGGTGGGAGAGAATTACAGGAGCAAAACATTCCATCTCACCTTTCCATAAGGTCCCACTGATACAAAAACAGCTGCTCTGCAGAGGACTGGAGCTGAGTCTCGGGAAAACCAGTTCTTAGATGAGTGGAATCGATTAAATCAAGTTGATATATAGAAATATAAAGCCAAAGTTCGTTATCTTTTTAGAACAATCCCATAGAGTTGCAATGAGGAATGTTTTTTTTCTTTTTCCCTGTCTGGCATTCCCAAACTGCGCCCCCCCTCCTCTTGATTTATGGTAGATGTTTTCCTCCCTGTTTTATTGTTTTATTTATTCTTTTAATGCTTTTATCCCTTCTTTTTGGTTTCTGAAAGAAAACAGCCACAGGAAATAACCTGAGCTCCCTTACCTATAGTAATTTGAAATCCTTTGCTTATGAACATTTATTTATTTGTTTATTTATTTGTTCGACTTGTATGCCGCCTTTCTCCGAAGACTCAAGGCGGCTTACAAACATGTATGTTTCCATCATCTGTTGTTTATGTGTTAGTCTCTCCCGCCTCTCTAAGATTTTTCTTTGTCTGTCTGTCTGTTTCCTGCCTTTATTATTTTTACAAATAACTCAAAGCTTACATATCCCACACACCTTCCTCTTCCTAACAACAACCCTGTGAGGTGGGTTGGATTGAGAGTGTGTGACTGGCCCAAAGTGTCAGCTGCCTCCTTACGTTTGTTTGGGCTTTGCTGCTAGATGGTGAAAGACTGCCATGAACTGTGGGGAGGGTGGAAGGCTTGGGGGAAAACGAAAATAAGGGCAGTATCTCCTCCAGATGCTGCCTCAAGGTCACCCAGCTGGAAAAAGGAGGGGGCCGCATACCAAACTATACTTGGACTGTCCGTTAGGAAAACATCTTGCCTGAACCCGATTGGTTACACTGAGGTGGGCAATGAGTGACAGTTAAGGGAAGGAAAAGTAGAATTTAGGGATTTTTGGAGTGTGATTTTCAGTTCTAGATTTAATACTGCAATGCACTTGACTTCTAATAAAACTATATCTTTCTCAACAAGAGAAAGAGCTTTGGTAGTACAGTGGTCTAAGGCACCCTGTTATTAAGCTGGTTATTAAGACCAGCTGCCTGCAATTATTGCAGGTTCAAATCTCGCCAAGGCTCAAGGTTGACTCAACCTTCCATTCTTTCTAAGGTAGGTAAATTGAGGACCCAGTTGTGGGGGCAATAAGCTGACTTTGTATAAATATACAAAAGGATGAAGGCTATTGCTTAACGCATTGTAAGCCACCCTGAGTCTCCGGAGAAGGGCGGCATATAAATCAAATTAAAAAAACAAAAACAAAAACAAATGGAGCCAAGGATCGTTTCTATTTAGGGGTTTAAGTCATGGCAGGTCTGATATAAAATCACCCCACTGGCTTTCCTGGCTAAGATGGGACCTGAACTCATGGGCTCTAGCTTTCTTAGCATGGTGTCTTAACCACTAGACCAAACTGGCTCTTAATGTATCCCTTTGCTGTGTGAGGGGCCATCGCTCAATATTTTAGGAGGGACTCCCACTAGTAAATGCTGTCTAATAAATACAAGTAGTTCTCGATTTACAACAGTTCATTTATGCCTATGGAGATTCTCAGTCATCCGGGTCATGGTTGTCCCAAAGGGGCTTTATTTTCAAGAGGCAACTGGAGTTTCTGGTTTTTCTTTGAAGACGTTTCACTTCTCATCCAAGAAGCTTCTTCAACTCTGACTGGATGGAGTATAAATCCTTCCATTCCCTACCATCCAGTCAGAGCTGAAGAAGCTTCTTGGATCAGAAGCGAAACGTCTTCAAAGAAAAACCAGAAAGTCCAGTTGCCTCTTGAAAAAAGCATCTTTGGAAAAACAAAGCTGTTCAAAGTTACAACAGCATTGAAAAAAGTGACTTATGACCATTTTTCACCCTTACGACCGTTGCAGCATCCCCCATCAAAATTCAGCTACTTGGCGACTGGGTTCATATTTATGACGGTTGCAATGCCTTGGGGTCATTCTACAACCTCTTAAGGTTGTAGAAAAAATGCTTTTAAAAGTAAAAAAAAAAAAAAGTTGGCCACGCCCACCCAGTCACATTACCCCCCCCCCCCACCAAGCCACACCCACAGAACCGGTAGTAACAAATTTTAGATTTCACCCCTGGTGTAGTGTATTTTAATTCTGAGTGAGGATGAAAAAACTTCTAGTTCTGGAGTGAACTACACTACGGGTCCTCAAACTACGGCCCCTGGGTGGGATACATGCAATGAACGTTTGTGTTGCTGCAGAGAGTCTCCCCCTTCAGGGTCTTTTTGTGTGGTTGAAGGGGGGGGGGAGAAATTCTGACTTGAGGTCTGTTTCAGCCTCCTGGTGTGGGGCTTTGGGTGAAGGCTGAAGGGACGTGCCATTGATGGAGAAGAGCCGGAGGACCTTGTTCCAGTGGGACTGCATCATGGCCTGGAACTGGCTGACCATCTCAGCCCACTGAGCTTTCCAGGTGCCTGTACCTGGTCTTGCACTCCCGCAGGTCTTCCCTCTGCTTGGAAAACCTATGCTCCTAGTCCTCAGTGAGGTGCTTCTGCTGAGCCTCCTTCTCAGTAAGATCCAATTTGAATTGAACTATTTTGCCAACTCATTCTCGTGGTGGCTGTTTAGCTCCATCAACTGCTTCCTGTTGGGGCCCTAAGGAGCCCGGGCGGGGAGGCGAGGAGTGGCTGGGAGGAGAGGGGCGAGTAGAGGCTGGCGAGGCGCCCCTCGATGTGAGTGACATCGAGTTGGCCATTGAGTTGGCCACGCCCACCCAGCCGGTCATTAAGCAGATTATATTAGTGGTCGTTGGGTTTTAAAATTATGAATTAAGTGGTCCCTCAGGTCCGAAAGGTTGGCAACCCCTGTTCTAGACATTCAAATCTAATGTTCTTCTCCTCTTCCTCCCTGCAACATTTTAATAGGCTGAAATCCAGAATCACTTGAAAAAGGGAAGACACGTTGCTAGGATGTATGAGAACCATGTTAAAATGAGCACTCAGAATCTATGGGTAGGTATCTCTGGTTTTATTTGGTTGGTTATTTCTATGTTCCGCTTTGCTAGTGAAGAGACTTATAACAAAAAGCCCAGGGAAATGGCATGCCCCATTTCACTGGGTAAAGATAGTCCTTGACTTATGACCACGATTGAGTCCAAAATTTCCGTTGATTAGCAAGGCACTCGTTAAGTGAGTTGCATCCCATTTTATGACCTTTTTGCCATAGTTGTTTTGTATTTATTTATAAAATTTATAGGCCGCCCAATTTATCTCAAGGTGGTAAGTGTGAAAACCAATCATAAATCACTTTTTTCAGTGCCATTGTAACTTCGAATAACCATGAAATGACTGGTCATATGTCGTGGACTAGCTGTATATGAAGAAACTGTTGGAGAACTACCCTGTTTCCCCAAAAATAACACCCCAACTTATATTTTTTTGAACCCTGAAATAAGCGCTTGGTCCACCCCTCCCAGGTTCTTGTGAGAATTCAGAAGTGGAAGAAGACATGGAAGAGGGAGGAAGCTACTGTGGAGAGGGGGGTGATGTTGGGAAATTCCCAGCTAGGCTGGAAGGAGGGGTCAAGTCAGGACTTAGCTTAGAGTCCTTGCACAGCTGCGAGATGCATAAGCTTGATTTTCCCCAAGATCCATGCTTGTTCCAGTGGTGAAATAATATTTGTTACTACCGGTTCTGTGGGCATGGCTTGGTGGGGGGAGGAAGGTAATGTGACTGGGTGGGCGTGGCCAACTTTTTTTTTTTTTAACTTTTAAAAGCATTTTTTCTACAACCTCTTCAGTTAAAAAATGCTTTTAAAAGCCTCTGACAATCAGGCAACTTAGCTTGGATCATCAGAGGCTTTTAAAAGCATTTTTTTCCTACAACCTCTTCAGCTGATGAGGTTGTAGGCTTTTTTTTTTTTTTTTACTTTTAAAAGCATTTTTTCGGCCAAAGAGGTTGTAGAAAAAATGCTTTTAAAAGTTAAAAAAAAAGCCTCTGATGATCGCGCAGCTCAGCTGGGCATGGGGGGGGCACAGGGATTTTTGCTACCGGTTCTCTGAACCACCCGCCGCCATCGCTACTGGATCAGGTGATGCAGTTTGAACTGGGAGCATTTCAACCCTGGCTTTTTCCCACCAGAAGGCAAAAGGCCTGGGAAGATTCTTATAACTTAGAGTAGAGAACAATAAAGTTGCTTAACGTCTATGGAGATTCTCAATCATCCAGGTCATGATTGTCCCAAAGATGCTTTTCCAAAAAGCAATTGCACTTTCTTGGGTTTTTTTTTTCTTTGAAAACCTTTCACTTTTCATCCAAGAAGCTTCTTCAGGTCTGAAGAAGCTTCTTGGATGATGCACCCACGCCTACGAGCAAACTGGTAATGACGGGTTTTGAAACCTGCCTCTGGATCCATTGCAAGCAAAAACTCCGAGGCAGGTGGATTTTTTTTTTTAATTTGATTTATATGCCGCCCTTCTCCGGAGACTCAGGGCGGCTTACAATGCGTTAAGCAATAGCCTTCATTCTTTTGTATATTTATACAAAAGTCAGCTTATTGCCTCCACAAACTGGGTCCTCATTTCACCTACCTTAGAAAGGATGGAAGGCTGAGTCAACCTTGAGCCTGGTGAGATTTGAACTTGCTGTAATTGCAGGCAGCTGATGTTAATAACAGTGCTTTAGTCTGCTGTGCCACCAGGTCTCCTCAAAGAAAAGCTTTATTGGAAATATCATATTGGCACATATTTGGTGAAAACTGACTCTGAGGATCCCTTGATTTTCCCCTAATTAAAAGTAAACTTTTTCCTCTCAACCCCAAACAATCAGTCACAAAGTCCAATCAAGATGCTTTCTGGTGGTCTGGTGACATCATTCCTCCTTCCTCCGGCCAGGTGTGAGAACGTCCTTGGTTCCCAAGAGAAAGCATTTTATTTTGACTACACAACCCCAGTTATCTATATCCTCACCCCCGATCCCTCAGCTCTAGTGTGGCAGCACCGAAGCTCCAAGATGGCTTCAACCAGAACAACTTCAGGGTTGACACACGATTCTGTCCTTTCTTCATTCATCCGCACCACATCCTTCCTCCCCCACCCCCCATTCACTCACACACATCCACAGCATCTTCCTTCATTCCCTTTGGTCTCACGCATACATCCAGCAGCACCGTTCACCCTGCAGCCCTCCCAAGCTCCATTTTCTCTGGCAGAGGCCCCACGGGCCAGTCCTTCGCTGTTTCCAGGGCGGCCCCACAGCCAAGATCTAAGTGCCCCGCAGGCTGGATCCGGCCCCCAGGCCTTGAGTTTGACACCCCTGTCCTAGACCTCTCCCAAGACCTCCCACACTTTCATATGGTACTTCCTTGGGACCCCTGCTTCCTGCTTAATGTCTGGTATGTACTTGGGGTTGGAATAACAACCGGGAACTGCCTGGATTGCCATCCTAAACAATGGGATTATGTGAAACTATGCTGTATGATCACATTGCTTAGCGACCACAATCCTGTTCCCAATCGCCATTGTAATTCGAGGACTATCTAAATTGTGCTATGGGTTATTTTTGCGGTGGTGGCTAATTGTGACATATTACTACGATTGGTATTTTTTGCTTATTTTGGACGTTTGCTGCATTTCATGTCGCCTTGAGTGGCTGTGAAATCAGACGATTCAGCAACGTGCAATTCCAATAATGATATATCTGCAGAAAAGGCCGGGAGAAGAACGTCGCAAGTTGGTGCATGAATTTGAAGAGTTCCACCAGGCTGCAAAGGATCAAATGCAGTTCCTACTTTCCCATCTGGAAGAACTGAAAATCAACATCTCAGACTACCAGAAAAAAAATTATGCCAGGCACACCACCAACACAATCCAACTGAACGCCCTGATTGGAGACCTAGAGAGGAAGTGTGATCAGCCAGAGGCTGAATTCTTGAAGCAAATGACTCAGATCAACCGTTTGGTCAGTGATTTAGAGAAGCTGCGCAAGGTCCTTCCTGAAGAATGCCTGAAGGTGAGAACTTTCATAGAAATGCTCTTGATTATTGGTTTTGTGTGTGCGCGGATGTGTCTGTGTGTATAATGTGTATAATAAGCATTGCAACATGTTTATTCCTCTATGGCAGGGGTCATAAACTGAGTGTCTAAGAGCCATTTGGACCCGGTTTCCACAGAAAAGAAAACACCGGGAGCCACAAAACTCTTCCCGTTCCTGACTATTTCCTGAGCGGCCACAAATATAGCATATATAGTAGAATTAAAGACTCTGTTTTCTTCTGAAACTTTTCTTTTCTTGGATTTATCCATGGTTGGCCTACTGGGGGTTGAAAAGCTTAATAAATTGCGTGTTGGTGGTGTCTCACATTGGCAGTTGTGATGCATATTTTGAGCGACAGGGAGCCGCAGCAGAGGGATGAAAGCAGGGGTGGGTTCTAAATTTTTTTACTACCGGTTCTGTGGGCGTGGCTTATTTTGTGGGTGTGGCTTGGAGGTCATGTGACTGGGTGGGCGTGGCTAGCTGGTCAGAGTCATTTCTGGAAGGTCCTCGCACTTACGACCCGACTCATTTGTTTGCTTTTAACACTGATCAGCTGTAGGACAGCCCTTTGAAGCCCCACGGCAAGAGTTTAAACAGTTTTTTTCCCTCTAGTCATCAGCTGGGATTCAGGAGGCAGCAATAGATTGGGGGTGGGACCAAATAAAAGGTAAGAATAACGTGGGGGTGGGGTGGGGGGGGGTGGGAGGGCTGGGGGGGGAGAACCGGTTCGGTGATGTCATATCGTCACCGCTACTGGCTCAGCCGAACCAGACCGAACCGGGAGGAACCCACCACAGGATGAAAGAGCCACATGCGGCTCCAGAGCCACCAGTTGCTGACCCCTGCTCTATGGCATGACTTGTTCAGACAGCAAGTTTAGTTGAAAGTTTGCTTAGAGGATTGAAACTGTTGTATATAAACAATGAAGTCGAAAGGGAATCTTAAAAGTGCTGAAAGTGAATTATAGCTAAGACTTTACTAAGTTCACAAATACTCTGTTTTAAGGAATAAGATAAACTTTTGCATTAATGCTGATAATTACACGAATGCTAATGCTAACCATAATCCTTACTAAAATGAGAATTTTCTCTGCTTCCTTCTAGGAATTTAAAATTATTTCAAACTGGTACGTGCCTCTTCCTTATGCATTTTCCTTCTGCCTGGTGATGAAGTTTGGGATACACTTTCCCGGAGAGGCCGCTGTACTTGAGCTTCTGAAAATGTTGCTGTGGTTCCCTAGGCTCCTCTTGGCTCCTCTGCAACAAGATTGCTAGAAATCTTTCTTTGAAAAAAAAATACAGATACATGGCTGTAGTAAATAATTGTAGCCAAAGCAATGCCTACCAACTGTTTCGGTCTTTGGAAATCTGACCCTGTATATCATCTTTATCATAACATCTTTAACCCATGCATTTCATTAGGTGCAGGGGTCTATCTGTCTATCATCTACCTATCGTCTGTCTGTCTGTCTGTCTGTCTGTCTGTCTGTCTGTCTGTCTGTATCTTTCTTTCTTTCTTTCTTTCTTTCTTTCTTTCTTTCTTTCTTTTGATCTATCTTCCTACCATCTATCAATTTATCTATCTATCTATCTATCTATCTATCTATCTATCTATCTATATTTATCTATCATCTATCTATCTTTCTTTCTATTTATCTATCTTCCTATCATCTATCTATCTATCTTACTATCTATCTATCATCTATCTCTATCTATCTATCTTTCTTTCTATCTATCTATCATCCATCTTACTGTCTATCTATATCTATCTTATTGTATAACTCTATCATCTGTATCTGTCTATATCTATCTATCTATCTATCTATCTATCTCTTTCTTTCTTTCTATTTATCTATCTATCTTCCTATCATCTATCTATCTTACTATCTATCTATCTATCATCTATCATCTACCTTACTGTCCATCTATATCTATCTTATTGTATAACTCTAACTATCTGTGTCTGTCTATATCTATCTATCTATCTTACTGTAAATCTATTTATATCTGTATATCTCTATCTCTCTATCATCTATCTATCTATCTATCTATCTATCTATCTATCTATCTATCTATCTATTATCTTTCTTTCTATTTATTTATTTATCTAGCTGTAAATTCATCCATCTATCCATCCACCTATCCATTCATCCATATCTCTCTATCTCCATCATCATCTAATTTAGGTACTACCATCTCACACTCACCCTACCCTCTTCTAACATGAATGTGCATAAGACCGTGCTCGCATTATATCTTTGGCTACTTTGTGTAACACCCCAGTTTGTGTGTGTTTTCACAGATAACTATATATTTTTGCTTTCAAGTGCCTGTATAGCCTAGTGCTGCTGTTTTTTTTCTTTTTTCCTTTAGCTTGGGTGAAGAAAAGTATGTGGAAAACAATCTTGGTGACCTGGAACAGAGATTGGAAAAAATCACTGAACAAAATAAAGTTCTGAAGGAGACACTGAAGGCATTGAAAGGTATCAGGATGAAAAGGAGGAAAATGAGAGATGATAGAAACAGGCTTAGGGATTTCTTTCTGTGATGGTTCCATGTTTTGTCACTTGTTCTTGTGCCCATTATCCTCAATACCTTTCTCTTCCAGAAAATCTGTCTCTCCTTTACTTCTCTCACAATATTCTATGTACTTCCTCCCTCTTGTGAGTGATGGGAAATCATATGCATAGAAAAAACCTTATTCTTTCAAATATATGGTTTATATGGATTTATAAAAAGCAGTAAATACAAAAACACAATTCATTTCTTTGCTTATCACAAAAGATTAATTTAGATCTACTGACTAGATCAAAAAGAGAGTTTCCAAATATGAGACCATCCATTATATGAGAATGCAAAAAATGGTGCTTGAAAAAAATGGAAGAGTGAGAATAGACATAATTCCGGGTGAAAATCGAAGGCTAGAAGAAGGAAGTCAGAGATTTCTATGGGAATTTTAAGGAGCTACTTTGAAGAGTGGAATTGAAATGATACTGTAAAGTAGCTGCCAAGGAAAATGTTGATGAAACAGATGCTATCAATGCTTCGAGAATGTTGACAAATGTTAAAGGCATAGATTATTAGGAAACATCCAGTCAGTCAGAGAGGAGGGGTCAAGCGGGGAACTAACCTTGAATCTTTGCACAGCTGCAAGAGATCCAGAACTGACTCCCTCCATGAAACTTTATCTATCTGTTCCCAAAAGAAAGAAAGCAGTCTCTAGGGAGGTTTCTGTGTTATAGACAGAATAACATAAAAATTAGCGTGAATTCTATACTTGGGGATTTAGTTGCTTGCAATGACATAGATCAGTGATGGCTAATCTTTTTGCCATCCCGTGCCAAAATCGAGGGAGTGCGGGGGGGGCACACACGTGTGCCCACACCCATAATTCTATGTGCCCCATCACCTGCGCATGCGCACGTGACCAGGGATGGGTTCTACTTACCTTTACTACCGGTTCACAACGGGACATGCGCAGAAGCATTCTGATGACGTCGGGGTTGGTGGGCGGAGCCTCCCACCAGTTTTACTACTGGTTCTATAGAACCGGTGTGAACCAGGGGCAACCCACCACCACTGCATGTGACCCCTTGCGCTCCCCTCGCTTTTGGCATGTGATGGCACGATGGACCCGGTAGACCCGTTTTTTGCTCCTAGAGGGGCTCTGGAGCCTGGGGAGGGCGAAAATGGCCTTCCCCACCTCCCAAGAGGCCTTCGGAGGCCAGAAACGGCCCATTTGCCAACTTCTGGTCCCATCGGAAGTTGGCAAACCCCTGCTAAAGATAAGGGTTCTTATACTATTCCAGATAAATGGGTGTCCAATCTTTTTTTGAAAAGCAGCAACAACTCCAGGAGTTCCATTGAGTAATCATTCTCACTGTCAGGAAATTCCTCCTTGATTCGTCTGTGCAGACCATATTTTTATTTATTTATTTGTTTATTTTTTGAGAAATGTATTAGAAAAAAAAGCTTAGGGTATATTAGAGGCAGGGTACAATAATGTAAATAGACTTGAATCGTGGCATCTTTGCATGACTATGGTTAGTTGCCGAATGAAGTACTTAAACAACGCCAACTGTTATTTATTTTCCTTTATTCTGCCTTTACCTTTTAGTTAAGATGCAAACCGAATTAATGAAAATCATGGACAACTGCCTGAAATCTTATGAGAAAGGTAAATTTACCAAGCCAAACTGGGCAATCATGGAAGTCCAGAAGAATGTATTGCTTTACGGTTTCCTTTCCCGTGTGAAGTTAGCCACTGAGATTTATGAACAATCCTTTTGGCTTAGTGTGCCATACAAAGCCAGCCAGTGGTGTATATGTTTTATAAATTGTGATTAAGCCATCTATTTTTCAGTGTTTATTTTTTGATATGTTATTTAATAGAGGTGCGTTGTAAAAAGATTTTCATTTCACCGATTCATTGCTAAACTGTTTAAACTCGATTTAGTGGAAAGACAACACAAAAATGGAATAGTCTGCGGTTGTTTTCATTTTGTCAGCAATTTGTTTTTGTTTTTTAAAAATTTGGGATACTTTTGTGTGCTTCATCTTAAATGATTCCCATAAATCAGTGCTTCCCAATTTTTTCCTTCAACCGCCTCTCTAGCCCAGGGATCTCCAATGTTGGCAACTTTAAGACTTGTGGACTACAGCTCCCTATGTCGATTGGGGAATTCTGGGAGTTGAAGTCCACAAGTCTTAAAGTCACCAACATTGGAGATCCCTGCTGTAGCCATTACTACATTTGTATGCTGCAAAGGGATTGATGGGTAGGCAGAGGTTGTAGATGGCTGCAGATGACTCCCAATACATATACACACACACTTCCCAAATCCCAACTGTGCATTCTGTGGAGGTGCACATCTTGCATGCTAATTAGTCGATCCAACTTCCTGTTTTACGGAATTTCTCTCTAGCCAGAACATTTGCTGAGATATAAAAGGAACAGCTATGTGGTGCAGTGGCCTAGAGGGGGAGCTCTCGCCTCACAATCGGGAGGCTGTGAGTTCTATCCTAGTTGAGGCAGATATTTCTCTCTCTGGGCTCAATTATATATCTGCTGAATAAAACTCTGCATTGGCAACAGGAAGGGCATCTGGCCAGTAAACACTCGGCTCCATTCAGTTGCCCAGACTCCACCCCACAAGCGATTATGGGATCATTAAAAGAAGAAAAAAGGAACAGCTATGCAACTGTCTCTGAATAACAGGTGCATACGTTCCATACAGTGCAGAAATGTGCTCCAGCCTTTAGCCTGGTTTCTTGTCATCCAAAATTGCCAGCAACGATGCTGCCATAACCTATCTGGAAGATGGCATAGAATATGAAGGGAAAGTTACTTTGCAGCCTAACATGATCCTTTTCTCTTCCAGCAAATGTGTTATTTGACCGGGACACCCTGAATCACATGCTGGATCTTTCAGGTGACCAGATCACTGTCAAGTGGAATGCAGAACTGAAGGAAAAAATCCCTTACCACTGGATGAGGTTCGAAAAAGTTTCCTGCGTGCTCGGAAGCGAAGGGTTCACTGCAGGGAGAGTCTACTGGGAGATAAACGTGGAAGAAGGGAAGATCTGGGCTGTGGGGGTAGCCAAAGAATCGGTGGAAAGGAAGCACCTGGTACATTTTGCCCCCGAAAATGGCATTTGGGGGTTAGGTTTAGATGAGCAAAACAAATACGTGGTGTATACCAATTCTGGAGTTGTTCCTTTGGATCTGTCTGAGCCTCTCCAAAAGATCCGGGTAAATCTAGATTACACGGCAGGGCAGGTGTCATTTTTCAACGCTGAGACCAGCCGTTGGATCTTTACCTTCCCTCCCGCAAACTTTTCTGGAGAAAATATCTACCCTTGGTTCTGGATTAAGGGAGGACTGCTCAAGCTGCCAGCCATAGACCTTGAAGAGCTGGCTGCTGACCTGGTGTGGGGAAGATATAGCGAGGTGCCTCTTTACAGAGACCCCTGGGAATTTTTAAATGAACCTTGGTGAAGTCCTAAGCAGATTGGCCATCTCCTGCCATGCATTCTCCTTGGTTCCTCTTAATCAGATGTTTTATTCCCTTGTTAGAGGCATGGAGGCCCAGCTTCAGTGTAGAAGCTTTAGATTTGGATGGCCATGACTGATTTCTCAGAGAGCTGACTGAACAACCAAAATGTGAGAATCCTTGTCTACATTTTAGGTTACATAACACTAGAGATGATATACACTTCCCTTTTTTAGACCAATGCACTGTAGTATTAATTTTCATGGGATGGTTCATTCATATTTTCTTATGCCTTAGGGCTAATTTAACCATTTTTTAAAATGTAGAACTGCCTTGCTCATTACTTTTTTCAGCCCAGTGGGAAGACAAAATAGTTATTCAGTTCTCTTCTTCTACATTCAGTATGTATGACAGTGGTGAAATCCAAATTTTTTTACTACCGGTTCTGTGGGTGTGGCTTGGTGGGTGTGGCTTGGTGGACGTGGCAGGGGAAGGATGCTGCAAAATCTCCATTCCTTCCCCACTCCAAGGGAAGGATATTTCAAAATCTCCATTCCCACCCCACTCTGGGGCCAGCCAGAGGTGGTATTTGCTGGTTTTCCAAACTACTCAAAATTTCCACTGCCGGTTCACCAGAACCTGTCAGAACCTGCTGGATTTCACCCCTCTATGTATGAGTATTTTAGATGTTAGCCCTTCCCAATTTCTCTCCAGCTGTAGAAATTATACTTGAAATGTGAGATTATAACTTGTTCAACCCATCACAAGGATGTCTGCAGGGAAGGAGGTTAAAAAATTAAAATGGTGGCCACAATCACCTGAGCTCCATCCCGTTTATGTGTTTTGCACACGTTAAAAGAGGACTTTGCTCACATGTGTTTTTGTAGGTGATGCATATAAAAAACCTGACATCCTTGACAATTTTTAATTAAAATATTTCTTTGGACATCTAAGATAAGGTATCTCTCTAGGATTCTTCCTACTTACATACAGTTTATGAAAGTAATATTCTTAAGCTTGCTTACACCAGTTTGTTCCATGCTCATGATATTCTTTGTTCTTAAATCTGCATAGTACTTTTTCATTTGTCTACTGTTTTACTGCTTCATTGTTTGCAACTTCCTGTGTTCCTGTTCAAATATATTTCAATACTTTAAAATTGGTTGTTATAATAAAAAAAAATTTAAACCTCATATTGCAAATCATATTTCTGAGGCCGTACCTCTGCTACGGTGCACCTATATCTGTGTGTGCCCCCACACTCACAAGAAAAACCCAATATTCTGCATTAAGATAAATCAGAGCTAGATTAGCCTTAGCTAAATTTAAAATTCAACCAAAATTGACCCAGCCTGTTTTGACTCTCTATATAGACCCTCATAACTCTTCCTGGACACAGAATAGTCCTGGCAAAAACAGCAGGGATGAAATAGTTCAGATGTCTGCCTTTTCCCTCCTTCTCTTGGACGGGGATCAGCTGGCATCAAAACCACCGGTGGGATGTTTGGCTGGGAAGTTTGAGCCGTTAAAAATCTGGGCTGACGGAGAGAACAAAGTTTTGCTTGAGTTCCTAAACCAGGATGGAGGCAAGAATTCGTAATCTTGGAAAAGAAAGAACATACAAACCCAGGATTTCAAAGTGATGCAAAAGGAATTCCTAGCTTGGCTACAGTTCTAGAAATATCACAGCTGGGCCAGAAATGAACCGGGTCAGGGTAAGTGCTGCCAACTTGGGTAACCACAGAAGTCTGGAGCTGTTACACAATCCTCTCGTCCCTTTGATCAGTAAGCCTAGATATTATTTGGTGTAATGTTTTGTGGGAACAACCTTGGACGCAGGGAGAAGAGACACAACTCAGGGAAAAATCAGATAAAAAGATAAACTCAGCCTGCAACAGGGTGTGTGCAGGGAAAGCAGCTCCTAAGTTCTTGGGCTGTAAAGGAGACGGGTGCAAGGCGAGGAATGTACGTTGAGACTTGCAAGATTCTATTAAGAATAGATTGCATTCCATTCTGAATGTACTTTCAGACTTGCAAGATTTATTAATGTAACCTTGCAATAAATAGAATTAGCTCATTGGCTGTGGGTTTTTTTTTAATTTGGCTTCCTTGCAAGGCTAACATTCCGTGACTAGTTGTGCAATGGACTTCTTCTGGTTAATTTAATGTGGAATCCCAAAGGTGCTTTTTCAGGAGGCGACTGGACTTCCTTGTTTTTTTTTCTTTTGAAGACGTCTCGATTCTCATCCAAGAAGCTTCTTCAACTCTTCAGAGCTGAAGAAGCTTCTTGGATGAGAATCAAAATGTCTTCAAAAGAAAAAAACAAGGAAGTCCAGTTGCCTCCTGAAAAAGCACTTTTGGCAGGGGTGAAATGCTCCCGGTTCAGACCGGATCAGGCAATCCGGTAGCGATCGTCGTGGTTGGTTCGGCGATCCGGTAGCGATGGTGGAGCGAAGCTCTGCCCACCTACCCCGGTGTTGTTACTTCCTGATTTTAACCAGGAAGTAATGTGTTTTTTACCTTCTGTGCATGTGCAGAAGGTTTTGAGCATGCGCAGGTGATGCACACGTGTGAGCAAAGCGAGCGCGTGCGTGCACCGCGTGCACTTCTGAACCAGTAAGGAAGGTAAGTAGATTTCACCCCTGACCTTTGGGACAACCATGATCTGGATGACTGAGAATCTCTACAGACGTTTAGTTTGGAATGTTTTGAAATACCCCAAAGAGCAGAAAAAATATATATAAATTGCCTCAAGTGTTGGATTTGATTTCTTTCTTTTTACAACAGTTTTTGAGTCTCTCCTTGCTTTTGATGCCTGGGATATTTGTAATCCTCGTCCCTCCCCTTCTGATCAGATGTCCTCAATTAACAGAACAACAAATTATATGTAGGGTGAAAGTGAATCTGAAAAGGACCCACTCTTTATCACAATCAGAGGGAAAGTTGGGTATAGCCATTAAAATGCATAAAAGATACATCAAGAATCAAAATAAAAATCTAAAAGAAGATGAATTAAAAACAAAAAGTATATATAAAAAGCAAGACTCGGAAAGAAGGGGTAAAAACATTAGAGGGCTGTAGGAGAGCATAAAAATTTAGTATGTGAGAGACTATATAAAGTTACCAACCATGCTAATATGGTGAATTAAGTGCTCATTTCTTTTTCCTTCTGTCCAATCATACCTCAGAAGCTGCCTGGACAAATTCCTACAATTTTCTTGGCAAAGTTTTTCCTGAAGTGGTTTGCCATTGTCTCCTTCCAAAGGCTGAGAGAAAGTGACTGGCCCAAGCTCACCCAGCAGGACCAGAACACAAGTCTCCCAGTTTCTAGCCTGATACCTTAGCCACTATACCAAACTGTGTCTCTAGAGGTTCACTAATTGTTAAATCAAATTAACCTTTGATAACCTTTATCAAATTTATGTAGCTGCCCATCACACTACTAGCAACTCAGGGTGGGAGTGGGGGGGTACAACAGTGGGATAAAACAGCAATGTAAAAAAAAAAACCTACAGATACAAAACAACTTGCCTCTAGAAGTTGTGAATGCTCCAACACTGGACATTTTAAAGAAGATATTGAATAACCATTTGTCTGACGTGGTGTAGGGTTTCCTGCCTAAGCAGGGGGTTGGACTAGAAGACCTCCAAGGTCCCTTCCAACTCTGTTATTCTGCATTCTGTAAAATGTGGACATCCATGTTAATAAATATCATAAAAGTATGATAGTCCCAATCCAGTCTGAACATCTGTCTGACTGTGCAACGAAGCAAACATTAAAAATAGACAACCCACAATTTGTAGCATTCTCCAACAGAAAGTACCAAGAATACAAACTGGATTTCACTTTCCAACTGATGACCTTGGAGAATTCTGTATAAAGAAGGAATATCAGTAAACCTGAAGATTTCAGACTATTTCGATAAACCTTCACCTGCCAATTCTCTGTCAGGGTTTGGAGTCGTCTGTTGCCCAGAATGAAATTATAAAGACTAGACCCTAGTTTATTGTAAGCCTGAGGAACATAGTATTGATTATCAGAACCCTGTGATGTATCCCTATTTGGAGGGATGATTGAGTCTGTCATCTGCACCTCTATGGACCCTCTGCGCATACGCAAACCCTTCTGTGCACACGCAGAGGGTAAAAAACAGGTTACTTCCTGGTTAAAACCAGGAAATAATGACAACCGGGCAGGTGGGCGGAGCCACGTGCCGCCATCGCTACAAGTTTGATTGAACTGGTCCGAACCGGGAACATTTCACCCCTGTTACAGACCCCTCGCAATCTGGACATAAACTGTTTCAACTCCTACCCTCAAAATGACACTATAGAGCACTGCACACCAAGACAATTAGACACAAGAACAGTTTTTTCCCAAACACCATCACTCTGCTAAACAAATAATTCCCTCAACACTGTCAAACTAGTTACTAAGTCTGCATTACTATTAATCTTCTCATCGTTCCTATCACCCATCTCCTCCCACTTATGACTCTATGACTGTAACCTTGTTGCTTGTATCCTTACGATTTATATTGACTGTTTCCTAATATGATTTGATTGCTTATTTGTACCCTATGACTATCATTAAGTGTTGTACCTTATGATTCTTGATGAACGTATCTTCCTTTATGTACACTGAGAGCGTATGCACCACGACAAATTCCTTGTGTGTCCTATCACACTTGGCCAATAAAGAATTCTATTCTATTCTATTATTCTTAATCTGAGGAACTCCATGTTGCTTAACACTGATAACAGAGTTTATAATTTTAGAACCACAGAAGTTAATTTATGAGGCCTTCAAAACCTGGGACTTGAGCTTGTTCCCTGGGTGGTTTTGATGTCACTTGTTCCTGTCACTCCAAATAGCCCTTTGCCCTCTTCGTGTTGACATCTCTCCAGTTATTTAATGTCTTCCTATCTTGACCAAACGAAGCTGGACCCATTTAGATTTTATTAACTGTCATGAACCTTCTTGCTCTCGGCTCCCTCCCCAGAATAGTTGAACGGCTCCGATTTCATTTAGTCGCTTAATTTCTTTGGGAGCATCAGAACGGACTACACGGCCTCAGTTTGAAGAACAGGATGGCCTGAGGTGAGCAGAGCAAAAACAGGCAAATAGGAGATCTAAAGTGAGATTAAAGTCAGGAATGTCTTTGCTTTGGCTGGGAGGTTCTTGAGATATGACTTTTGATTTTTGTCAAAAATTTATAATTAGAGAGGGGTTTTAGGGGTGATGAGATGGTGTCAGGGCTAAGAGATAAAATAAAAAATCAGAAAGCCCTTAGTGCAAATACCTTCTCTGTCATGAGGGGTTTTAAGTAATCTAGCTCCTGTAGATACATCTTTTTTACAAAAAGGACACAATTCTGTTGTCTACCCAATTCTACTTTGGAGTGATGTTGCCACAATAACAGGTACTTTGAAATATTTGAAACATTTGAGTGGTCTGTATAAATTTGTTACATTGCAAAAAGGAATATTTTGGAATATTGCTCCAACAGAAGTGGGCAGAGCCAAGAAATGATTTTTTTTTTAAAATTGCATTTGAGTCATTTGGGGGGGGGGTAGATCTATAAAATGTTTGTTCTATAAAACGAATCTAATATACATTAGATTCCAGTTAATGAACTGCAGAGCCCCAAAATCATGATCATAAATTCAGTTTTACAAACACCCCTTTATTACTTTATTATATAGATATGGGTTTTCTAATAGGCTATGTGCCTAAGCAAAATAATGATGTCATACTCAACATTTTTGCCTTCATGATATTATATAACTTTTCTATTTTAGTCTCTCTCTTTCCAATATAGAGTGAATTGCATCTGCTTGGTTGTTTTTCACTCTGGTATCTTAGTTGTAGGATTATTTAGGATCATTTAGGTCAGGGGTGGGTTTCACTTACCTTTGCTACCAGTTCGCTCGCTCGCACGCGTACACTCGCTTCGCTCACACGTGCACCACTTCTATGCATGCACAGATCATGTTTGATGACGTCCGGGCGGGTGGGCGGAGCCTTCCACCACCGCTGCTACCGGTTCACACGAACCAGTAGCAACCCACCACTGCTTTGAATCCAGCTAAATTCACAGCACTTGAGAGAAGCCAAGCACACCTACAGTTTAGCAGATGGGATTATAGAGAGTTTAAAATCAAATTTTGATTTGCTTCTTTATCATGTACGGTATGCTAGAAAAACAGAAATTGTGATCTGTAAGCCATGGCTTCAATCAGTATGAATTTATGTTTAACAAATCATGATTAAACAAATCGTGCAATACAATACAGCTCTTGAAAGGAAACAAAAGACTGCCTCATCCTGTGGGTGACGCACATTTCCAGCGTTGTTATGACTGAACACAAGGCAACTCAAGCCGTAGCATGGAAATCAGAAGCTTGAGACAGGGAGAAAAGACCCAAAATAAACTGATAAAGGGGAGTCTTAGGGCAATTAGTCCTTGACTTACAACCACAATTAAGCCCAAAATTTCTGTTGTTAAGCAAGACATGATAGATAGATAGATAGATAGATAGATAGATAGATGATAGATAGATGATAGATAGATAGATGATAGATAGATAGAGATAGATAGATGATAGATACATGATAGATAGATAGATAGATAGATAGATGATAGATAGATGATAGATAGATGATAGATAAATAGATGATAGATAGATAGAGATAGATACATGATAGATAGATAGATAGATAGATAGATAGATGATAGATACATGATAGATAGATAGATAGATAGATAGATAGATAGAGATAGATAGATAGATAGATAGATAGATAGATAGATAGATAGATAGATAGAGATAGATAGATAGATAGATAGACAGACAGACAGACAGACAGACAGATAGATAATGATAGATGAGGGAAGGAGATAGAAAGATAGATAATGATAGATGAGGGAAGGAGACAGAAAGATAGATAATAATAGATGAGGGAAGGAGACAGAGATAGGATGACAGAGATAAGATGAGAGATGGGAGAGAGAGACAGAGGTGATAAATAAAATAGAATAACAGAGTTGGAAGGGATCTTGGAGGTCTTTTAGTCCAACCCCCTACTTAGGCAGGAAACTCTATACCATTTCTAACAAATGGTTGTCCAATCTCTTCTTAAAAACTTCCAGTGTTGGAGCATTCACAACTTCTGGAGGCCAGTTGTTTGGTGCATTCAGTGCATTACAATTGTTCAGTGATATTTTCTCATATTTTACGACCTGGCTTGCCACAATTGATAAATGAATCACAGCAGTTGTTCCATTAATAACCCGGTTGTTAAGTGAATCTGGCTTCCCCATTGACTTTGCTTGTCAGAAGATCGCAAAAGGAGATCATATGACCCATGAGACACTGCAACCATCATACATACATGCTAGTTGCTAAGTGTCCAGATTTTGAGCATGTGACCATGGGGATGTTGCAACGGTCGTAAATGTGAAAAACGGTCGTAAATCACTTTTTTCAGTGCCATCGTAATTTGGAACTGTCACTAATTCGAATGGTTTGTAAGTTGAGATCTCCCAACCTTGGCAATGTCTAGGTGGGTTGAGTTCAACTCCCAGAATTCCATAGCTACGATGGCCATTGTGGAGAATTCTGGGAGTTGAAGTCCACCTATTTGGAAATTGCCAAGGTTGGCAAATGCCATCTCAGAGCATTGTTTGCAAAAAAAAAAAATCAAATCTGTGAACTTTGGTTAATAGAATGATAGAACTGATAATTATGAGGTTAGAGATGATCACAAGAATCAACTAGTCCAACTCTGCAATGGCCTTTCTCCTTCACTAAGGCATCACTGATGTCACAAATAAAGATTCCTTCAAGGAAACTCCTCCTTGAAACTCTTAGAGATGTGCAGGAGCTGAAAAGCTGGCTTGAGGAACCCCAAATTTCTCTTTCTGAGAGGCATGAAAAGGGCTGGAAGAGCTCAAAGCAGGGGTGAAATCCAGCAGGTTCTGACAGGTTCTGGAGAACCGGTAGCGGAAATTTTGAGTGGTTCGGAGAACTGGCAAATACCACCTCTGGCTGGCCCCAGAGTGAGGTGGGAATGGAGATTTTGCAGTATCCTTCCCCTGGAGTGGGGTGGGAATGGAGATTTTGCAGTATCCTTCCCCTGCAACGCCCACCAAGCCACGCCCACAGAACCGGTAGTAAAAAAAATTGGATTTCACCACTGGCTCAAAGGGATCTGATGCTGGTGCCATTTTTGTTTTCCTTTGTTAAAGGTAGTTTGGGAGGGGGAACATAAACTATCTTTATTTATTTATCCAGGAACAGCTGCTTTCTGAACTCTTGAGAAGCGAGGAGTTAAGTTGTTAGGATATTCTGGCAGAAGACAATTATATCGGCTAGTGTTAAATGCTAGCATTCTAGGTAAAACAGACTGCTAAGGCAATTAGATGAAACAAACACATATTTATATATTGCCAGCACCCCCTACAGATCTTGCCGATAACTAATAGCTAAGAGTATAAGTGTAATTTAGGCATATGGTTTTTGAAAGATAAGCAGGGAGTGATCCTTGTTAACAGTTGAGCCAGAAGCTCTGGTTTTGGGGCAGGCTCGTAGTTAAAACCCTTGTAGATTTTTCATGGTTTATCTTTCTCTGCAGACCTTGTTAGCATCTAGCAGAAAGCTACGTAACCACAAGTAAAGTAGAAAATACATACATATACACACATGCACAAGACTAGCACTGAAACTATAATGTTCATCTCAGATCGTTGACTATGCGGGTAAGTCGAGGTAGATTTTTGGTGTGGATTGTATTGTATTTTAAGGGTTAAGACTTACACATAGATGTAAGGAATGAAGGCGAATATACGTATCTCAGGATAATGTTGCAGGTTCCAATTTAGATCTGTCACTGGGACCGGAGGTTTTGTCTTCTGAGCTTTCGGACTCATGCTGGAGCCCATCCTCAGGGAACTTCTCTCTAGCAGAGTGTGTGATGTAAGACTTAGAATGTAGAAACTGGCATGTGGTGTGTGAACTTGCTTATCACAATTTTAAATATTATCTCCCCGTTTTACTTTCATGGAGCGCTTGTAGTTCTTGTTGCCACGGTTTAATAAAGAAGAATTACATATTCCTGTTGTCTTAGGATTTTTCCTAAATATACAGTAGGTGCTAACTTTTCCATATACATACTGAATAAGTAGGAAATAAGAACAACTTCTATTATGATGAAAGTTCTGAGCAGAAATGAGATAAGATGACCTTTATTGTCACTTTTTTCTGTGAACACTGACACACATTAAAAAATCCAATAGTGATGCCCCCTCTCAAAAGAATATATATATATATAGATATATAGTTTTCTCAGGTTTTCGCGGGTGTTTGTATGTAGGTCTTTGGTTATTCGGGTCTTCTCCCACGTAAAATTGGAAGTGTCTTGGCGATGTTTCGACGAAGTCTCATTCGTCATCTTCAGGCTGGTGTTCTCGGCTTCGTGCTCCTGGAAGCACGAAGCCGAGAACACCAGCCTGAAGATGACGAATGAGACTTCGTCGAAACGTCGCCAAGACACTTCCAATTTTACGTGGGAGAAGACCCGAATAACCAAAGACCTACATAGATATATACACACGAGTTCCAGGTATATTAGTAAAGAAAGAAGCAGACATCCTGCGAGCTCCAGAACTTAAAATTTTTATATATATATATATATATATGTGTGTGTGTGTGTGTGTGTGTGTGTGTGTGTGTGTGTGTGTATATATATATATATATTCTCAAAAATATGTGTGTGTGTATGTATATGTATGTGTGTGTGTACGTATATATATATATATACTGACAAACACACACACACACACACACACACATATATATATATACATATATATATATATATACATACTCTGTGTGTGTGTGTGTTTGTGTGTGTGTGTATATAATACACACATACGCAGACACACACATGTATATAAATCACAGTCCATTTTGAATCCATAGCTGAGAAAAGAGTCTTAACAAGGTTGATACCAGTGGTGGGCTGCCCCCAGTTCACACCGGTTCTATAGAACCAGTAGTAAAACCGGCAGGAGGTTCCGTCCACCAACCCTGATGTCATCAAAATGCTTTTGCGCATGCGCGAACAAAGTGAGCACGTGCGGCCCTGTTGTGAACCGGTAGTAAAAGTAAGTAGAACTCACCCCTGGTTGATACTATATGGTATAAAGCTATTACAGAATCTAGTTGTTCTGCTTCGGATGCAGCGAAGCCTTCTCCCAAAAGGTAACAAAGAAATAATTGTTTAATGTGTGATTGTTACCAAGGGCGGGTTTCAAAACCCGTCACTACCGGTTTGCTCGTGTGTACACGTGATGCTTCTGCGCATGCACAGAAATGTCCAGGCGGGTGGGTGGAGCCTCCTGCCATCGCCGATACCGGTTCGCCCGATCCAGCGTGAACCAGTAGCAACCCACCACCTATTGTTACTCTAATCACTCCACATGGCTTCTGAGAAAAAAAATGATGTGTTGCTTAGATCTATAATCTGACATTAGAACAGGAATGAGCAACTATGGCAAACCTGTGTGGACTGCAACTCCCAGAATTCTTGAGCAACCATGCTGGCTCAGGAATTCTGGGAGTGGAAGTCCACAGGTCATAAAGTTGCCATAGTTACCCACACCACTTTAAAAAGAACACAAAAAGAGGCCTAAGAAACAAGCATTCCAATTTTACAAGATATGAATGCATTATAACTTCTCTTGGAGGAGTCCACATTTCTGATGTTTTCTTCCTTAGGGAACCAGGAAATAGGATCACCTCTTCAAGCTGTTCTACAGGGGAAACAGTTCGTTTTAATCGCTTTGACCGACTGTCAATATCCAACCACTCCATCTTCTCAAACATGCCCCAGTTAATCGTTGGTGGATGAAGTAAAAGATAAAGCGATTTTTTTTCAACTTGTAAAAGAAGATTCATTGATAAACAAACGGGGGTCTACAGAACTTCTGGGGAAAATGAAAGAAGCCATCCGACCAGCAACTGTAGATGAAACAAATTGGTCAACTCAAAATGTGTGCATGATACATAAAGAAGATTTAAGTCTTTTCTGTTTGGAGGATCAAATTCCCCTTTGTTCACTCTGCAGAAAATCCTGGGATCATGCAGGGCACACTGTCATTTCCAGGAATCAACCAGAAAATCAGGTAAACCAGCGTAATCCTTCAAAACAATGTATCTAAGACAATAGAGAGCCATTCCCCTAAATACGCCTGGGATAAAATCTTCCCTCTTGAAACCTTCTGCCGATTAATAGAAAACCGTCATCCGTACCAGCCTCCAAACAATCTCCAAGGGCAGCTCCCCGTGACATTCATTAGAGTAGTCTAGCCATGAGTCAGTTCACTTTCACTTGCTTTGTTTATTATTTGTCATAACAAACTGACTCAGATTAAAAATATTTGCTGCAGCAAAAGTACAATACACACCCATCGTGGTAATTGTGATTTATTTTTCTCCCCCACTGTTATATATAACCCTCATCTGGGACTGAAAAATATGAAACATGGATATTAAATTGTCAAAAGATCAGATGACGTATCTTCCAGAAATATTTGACTTAAAATTAGCATGGGGGATGAGGGAGCTTAATTTTTTTTGGTCTTTGCACCAAAGTTGTTCTCCCCAAAAAATATGGATGCAATGCAATGCATAAAATTAACTTAACATTGATATAATATATACCCTGTTTCCCCGAAAATAAGACATCCCCTGATAATAAGCCCAATTGGGCTTTTGAGCGCATGCGCTAAGATAAGCCCTGAAAATAAGCCCTCCCCAAAAATATTTAAACACATGCGCAGCCGGTCCCCGCCATTTCCTCTGGTTTTCTCCATGTGCCCCAAAATAATAAGACCTCCCCGAAAATAAGGCCAAGCGCTTATTTCAGGGTTCAAAAAAATATAAGACAGGGTCTTATTTTTGGGGAAACATGGGTAATACGGTACAGTATCATATCGTGCGGTATCCAAAGTCCAGGATTCAAAAACAGAGCTAAATTATATATATATATATATATATATATATATATATATATATATATATATATATATATATATATATATATATATATATATATATATATATATATATATATATATATACATATATAGAAGAGGCGGTAGACATCACGATCTCCGGAATGTTTAAAAGTTTAAAATTTTTTATTTTATAACTTGTGCTAAGCTTTCGTCGGCCCCTACCGACTTCGTCAGAGTATAAAATACCCATTGATCAGCATTACATAAAAGCAAGCAGCTTTTCAATGGGTATTTTATACTCTGACGAAGTCGGTAGGGGCCGACGAAAGCTTAGCACAAGTTTTAAAATAAAAAATTTTAAACTTTTAAACATTCCGGAGATCGTGATGTCTACCGCCTCTTCTATAACTATACCAGTAACTTGCATCTTTAGGACAATATATATATAACCCTGACAAGAAAAGTATTATATATATATATATATATATATTTCTATCCCACTTTTATTAATTATATAAGTAACTCAAGGTGGGCGAACATACTTAACATTCCTTCTATTTTCCCCACAACACCTCTGTGAAGGGGGGTTGGGCTGAGAGAGAGACTGAGTGGCCAAAAGTCACCCAGCTGGATTTTCATACTTAAAGCAGGACTGGCCCTGATACCTTAGTGGCCACTAGACCAAACTGGCTGACATATCTATTAATATGGCGACAATTGTTTCCTATTGGACCTTTTGCAAAGGAAAAATTCAAGGCATCCCGTAATACTATGCCTCCTTCTTTTTTGTCTAGGCTACTGGAAATGTCTTAAATGGGTAAGTGTTTTCCTGCTGATGTGCTAATATGCTGGCTGGGACGTTAGTTTGTTTGTTTGACTTGTATGTCACCCATTTCGCAGTTTGTTCCACCCTTTAGACTTTCAAATCTTGATCTGCAGCAAATGGATGTATCTCGTTGGTTCCATCCAATGGCAGCTCATAGAAGATCTTAGCTCATGCCAGGTCAGGGGTGAAATGTAAAAATGTGTTACTACCGGTTCTGTGGGCGTGGCTTGGTGGGGAGGGATAATGTGACTGGGTGGGCGTGGCCAACTTTTTTTTTTAACTTTTCAAAGCATTTTTTCTAATGCTTTGAAAAGCCTCTCTGACGATCAGGCAACTCAGCTGGGATTGTCAGAGACTTTTCAAAGCATTTTTTTTACCACCTCTTCAGCCAAGAGGTTGCAGAAAAAAATGCTTTGAAAAGCCTCTGATGATCCCAGCTGAGCCGCGCGATCATCAGAGGCTTTTTTTTTACTTTTAAAAGCATTTTTTCGTCGGAAGAGGTTGTAGAAAAAATGCTTTTAAAAGTAAAAAAAAAAAGTCTCTGATGATCGTGCAACTCAGCTGAGCATGGTGTGTGTGGGGGGGGGGGGTGCAGGGATTTTTGCTACCAGTTCTCCGAACCACCCACCGCCATCACTATCGGATTGGGTGATCCGGTCCAAACCGGGAGCATTTCACCCCTGTGCCAGGTCCAGCAAAACCAGCCTGCCTCTTTTATGGTGACACTTTCCATAAGAGTTCCCAGCCTGTGACATTTCTTGGCCAACTGCTTCTGACCTGGGAAGCCAGATAGAGTCACACCTGCTTAGTACCTGGATGAGAAATCTGAGTTAATTTAGGAAATTGATGGGAAAAAAAACCTTCTTAGGATGAAGGGTGGTAACAAATCCACTTCTGTGTTGTTACCAAGGAAACAGTATGAATCTGAAGTCTGAAAGTCTGTAGAGATCCTCAGTCATCCAGGTCACGGTTGTCCCAAAGGTGCTTTTTCAGGAGGCAATTGGACTTTCTTGTTTTTTTCCTTTTGAAGACGTTTCACTTCTCATCCAAGAAGCTTCTTCAACTCTGAAAGGATAGTGGGGAATGAAAGAATTTATATACCTTACAGACAGCTGGAAATTTGCATCCTGGAACCAGGAGCACTATTCAGGTGATGCTGAGGACACAGATAAATCTCCAAGTGCTTCAACGACCCTCTAAAAGGATGCCCAGCTGTCTGCAAGGAATATAAATCCTTCCATTCTCCACTAGCCTGATCTGAAGAAGCTTCTTGGATGAGAAGCGAAACGACTTCAAAAGAAAAACAAGAAAGTTCAGTTGCCTCCTGAAAAAGCACCTTTGGGACACTGAAGTCTGAAATAACTAGATGTCTAGCTTCCTAACTGCGTGTCCAGGAGACGTCGGAAAAACAGACGCTGCCAAGTCTTAGTTGCTGTAAGCGGTTTATTCCAAACGGTCGCTAGCACCATCAGCGACAAAGAAAACACTTAATGCAAAAGGCATACAAAGTCGGCGTTGGGAGCAGCCGCCTTCCAACGCCTTTTAAACCCACGCGCCCAATAATTACATTGGCTCACATGCCCTTCCGGATAGAGCACCCGGCCCCTGCATGAGTCAGCAATTGCAGCAAAGCAGGGGAAGGGCAGTTAAGCAAAATTCTAGCTCCGACCGCAGCGTGACCGGCCGCCTACTAATTATGCTAAACACCCACCGCCACCTGTGCAAACGACCACACCGCCCAACACCCCTTCCGCCGGTCCAAGTAGGTATAGCACCGGGGCCAACTTCATGTGCATAGCGCCGGGGCCAACTTCAGATGCATAGCGCCAGGATCCGCGGCTGCCACCATCCCGCTGAGTGGCGAGGGGATCTCGACACTAGAACCTAAGCTCAATCCCTAGTGCCGCGTAACGGGGTGAGCTCCCGTTACTTGTCCCAGCTTCTGCCAACCTAGCAGTTGGAAAGCATGTAAAAAATGCAAGTAGAAAAATAGGGACCATCTTTGGTGGAAAGGTAACAGCGTTCCATGCGCCTTTGGCATTTAGTCATACCGGCCACATGACTACGGAGACGTCTTCTTATAGCGCTGGCTCTTCGGCTTTGAAACGGAGATGAGCACCGCCCCCTAGAGTCAGGAACGACTAGCACATATGTGCGAGGGGAACCTTTCCCTTTACCTAAACTCAATCAAGAAAGCCATTTTGATACTTTTTAAAAATTTCTTGATGCTTCTGTATTAATATGGAGATTATTCACTTACAGTATAGCGCCTGATTGCCAGGTTACTGACAGGCTATTTTAGATAGTACAGGTAGTCCTCGACCTACGACCGCCATTCAGCCCAACATTTCTGTTGCTAAGTGAGGTGTTTGTTAAGTGAGTTTTGCCCCATTTTACAACTTTTCTTGCCACTGTTGTTAAGTGAATCACTGCAGTCGATAAGTTAGTAACACGGTTGTTAAGCGAATCCGGCTTCCCATTTGATTTCTGCTTGTCGGAAGGTCGCAAAAGGGGGTCACGTGACCTTGGGGACACAGCAATGGTCATAAGTATGAACCAGTTTGCCAAGCATCCCAATTTGACACTTGGGGATGCTTAAAAGATCATAAGTGTGAAAAATGGCCGTAAGTCAAATTTTTCAGTACTGTCGTAAGTTTCAATGGTCGCTAAGTGAACTGTTGTAAGTCAAGAATTACCTGTATTTCTACTGCTACCTTTTGTGAATACAGTTTAGTCAAAGAATTGCATTATATTCAGTGGTGGGATCCTACCGTTGAACCAAAAATCACCTTCCGCATTAATGTTAGGGAATTAAAACGGCTGAGGCATGGCAATCCGCTCTGCCACGCTAATCAGGTGCAAAGATATAGGTAAATAAAGTGCAGGGGTGGGGGGGGCGGGCCCAGCTGATTGTCGGAGTGAATCAGTTCTCTCCCAGCTGATTTTCGGAGCTACCAATTCACCCGAACCGGTCCGAACAGGTAGAATTCCACCCCTGATTATATTCTACTCTACAGTCTATCATGAGAAAAGGCAAATGTTTTGATCTTCTTCAATTGCATATCCTTTATATCATGCATTTCCTTTCTCCCTAGGGGGAAATCCCAGCCAACCGGGGCTTCCATTGTAGAATTTTCAAACATAAACACAGCAGACTTCATAGAAAAAGGTAAGGGTGAAAAATGTTTGTCAGTCACTCTTTCTGGTGCCATTGTAACTTTGAACCAGTGGTGAAATGTAAAATTTGTTACTACCAGTTCTGTGGGTGTGGCTTGGTGGGGGGTAATGTGACTGGGTGGGCGTGGCCAACTTTAAAAAAAAACTTTTAAAAGCATTTTTTCTACAACCTCTTTGGCCGAAGAGGTTGTAGAAAAAAAATGCTTCTAAAAGCCTCTGATGATCCCAGCTGAGCCGCACGATCATCAGAGGCTTCTTTTTTTACTTTTAAAAGCATTTTTTCAGCCGAAGAAAAATAGAAGGAAGCCCAGATCAAATCTTGTAATAAGACAGGAAGCTGGATGATTTCACTTTCAAAAAGAGATATTTATACACACAAGATTCTGATTCTCAGGGTTTCAAAGGGCCCTAGTTTTTTTTGTTTTTTTTTTAATGGGGCTAATAGCAATAGCAACCTGGACTTATATACCGCTTCACAGTGCTTTTACAGCCCTCTCTAAGCAGTTTACAGAATCAGCCTACAGAGTCAACAATCTGGATCCACAAGAGAAATTTCCAAAGTCAGGTCCCTCTCATTGCAATGCAAATTCTGTCTAATGCTGGAACTGTGTCTGCTGCCAATCAGCAAGAGACTCTAGGAGTTTCTCTCCTTCCTCCACCAGATCCCATTAGCAATAGCCCTTAGACTTATATACAGCTTCACAGTGATTTTACAGCCCTCTCTAATCAGTTTACAGTCAGCATATTGCCCCCAACAATCTGGGTCCTCATTTTACCCACCTCGGAAGGATCAACCTTGAGCCTGGTGAGATTCAAACTGCTAAATTGCAGGCAGCTGGCAGGCAGCAGAAGTAGCCTGCAGTACTGCACTCTAACCACTGCGCCAAAATTAGACCAAAAAATCTACTTTGGAGCCAGCAACAGCTTTGCTTGGTGATGTGGATTTAGAAGCAAAATTAACCTCTACGTGTTACCATTGTGGCATAATAACCCACAACATCTAACAACTATATTGTACAAGAACTTCACACCGAAATAGTTATTGTACCCAGTGGGTCAGGAATCTCCGTGTTTGGAGCAGTGCTTCTCGAACTTGGCAACTTTAAGATGTGTGGACTTCAACTCCCAGGATTCTCCAGCCAGGAGACTTTTGGCTCTTCTCTGAACTTGGTTCAGGCAGGATTAGTTCAGGTGAAAATAGTTCAGAAGGTGTGGGGTGCAAGTTTCACACATCTGCAATTTTTGCCTGTTTTACTGGGATCGTATAGTAGGAAAAGACGGCATTCCATCGAAATAGTTATAGCTACAATTCCGTCTCTACTTCCTTTAAAAAAGTGGCTTTGCCAGGCTTGCTTTGTCCACTTACTCAACATTTAGGTTCAATTGGACTTAGTTCCGGATACTTAGTTCCAGATCCATATAGGCAGTCCTCGATTTATGACCACATGTAGGTAGTTCTCGATTTATGACCACAATTGAGCCCAACATTTCTATTGCTAAGTTGCTAAGTCAGTTTTGCCCCACTTTACAACCTTCCTTGCCACAGTTGTTAAGTGAATCATCGCAGTTGTTAAGTTAGTAACACGGTTGTTAAGCGAATCTGGCTTCCCCATTGACTTTGCTTGTCAGAAGGTTGCCAAAGGGCACCCCCCCCAGGACACTGCAACCGTCATAAATATGAGTCAGTTGTCAAGCATCCGAATTTTGATCATGGGGATGCTGCAATGGTCATAAGTGCGAAAAACAGTCATAAGTCACTTTTTCAGTGCCATTGTAACTTCAGAGCGTCACTAAATGAACTGTTGTGAGTTGAGAACTGTCTGTAAGTAGGATTTCCCTACCTCCCAATTTATCTCTCCCTCCTTACTTATGTCGCTGTGATAGAATTTGAAAGAGTCAAGAGCAGGGGTGTCAAACACAAGGCCCGCAGGCCACTTCCGGCCCATGATTTGGTCGGATCCCACCCATGGGGGCATCCTGGAAAATGTAAGGGGCCGGCCTGTGTCACTTCGGCCCAGTCTACCCAATGCGAAGGGGAAGCACCGGGCCAGCATGGCTTCGGCCCGGTCTATCCAATGCGAAGACGAAACATGCCAGCAGTTTGGGGAGTGGCGTCAAGCTGGCCACACCCACTCAGTTGGTGACACCCACCAGTTGGCCATGCCCAGTTGCCCCCCCCCACGAGGTCAACCACAGCCCTGATGCATCCCTCAATGAAATTGAGTTTGACACCCCTGGTCAAAAGGAAAGAAGCATTCTGTTGCCTCAGGTAAAGTAACTAATTGTGGTTTATTTTTCCAAGGACGAGCAACTGATGGGATTGAAGATGACAACAAAGATAATAAGGACGCAGCTCTTGAGCAGTGTGTGGACTTCATCTTGGAAGAAAAGAAGGAAGCAGGTAAAAGGCACTCAGCATTATGGGATATTCCTCTGAATTGCAGGGAGACAATTTCCCTGTTTGAATCCTGGGAGGTTCTAGGCTGCTCCAGGAGTCAGCCAAGAGGAAAGATGGTCCTGAACGAAGAGTTTTTCTTCTGAATGCATGCTTAGGCAATCTGTGCCCCCAGAAGGATTGATTGCTGATAGAAGGTTGAATGACTCCATTGAGAGACAAATTCCATGGAACAAGCTTTCTGAGCTGGAGCTCTCCAAGGTGCTGGAGCTCTACCTCAGTAAGTTGGAGATGTGTGGACTTCAATACCCAGAATTCCCCAGCCAGCATAGCTGGGGAATTGAAGCCCACCTATCTTGAAGTTGAATTCTGGGAGTTGAAGTCCACCTATCTTGAAGTTGCTGAGATTGAGAAATAATGTTCTACTCTAGCAGCCCCCAAACCTTTGGGCACCAGGGACCGGTTCCGTGGACAGAGGGAGTGTGATTTCATGTGCTGCCTGCATCCCATGGATGAGGCTTCCTTTGTTTGCGTGGCCCCGTTTATACACATTCTGATTCAGGTGACTTTGTGGATACAGATAAACCCCTAAGTGGCCTCAATGACTCTCAGAGAGCTAACAACCAGATGACTGCAAAGAATATAAATCTTTCCATTTCCCATTCGAACTGAAGAGGCTTCTTGGATGGGAAGTGAAATGTTTTCAAACCAAAAAAAAAAAAAAAACAAGAAAGTCCACTTGCCTTTTAGCAAAATCACCTTTGGGGCAACCATGACCTGGATGGTTGAAAATCTCCATAGACACATAATATTTTATGAGCACAGGGTGTGTTACATCGAATGGTGCGGTGGCCTAGAGGTGGAGCTCTCGCCTCACAAACAGGAGGCTGTGGGTTCGATCCTAGGTAGAGGCAGATATTTCTCTTTCTCTGGGCACAGTGGGAATATATCTGCTGAACAAAGCTCCACATTGGTGACAGGAAGGGCATCTGGCCAGTAAACACTCAATTCCATTCAGTTGCCCAGACTCCAACCTTCAAGAGATTGTGTGGCTGTTAAAAGATGATGATGATGATGATGACGACAGGGCATGTCACATCACTGAGGTGCAGGGGTGATATGCTCCCAGTTCGGACCGGTTCGGGCGAACCTGTAGTAAAAGATGCTACCGGTTTGGGCAAACCGGTATTTCCGATGATCAGCTGGGTGACAATCAGTTGTGACGCGTGATTTATATTAGCTAGAATCATCGGATTTCCTGCTTTCTAGCTAATATAAATCATGTGGCACAGTGGATTTCCCCCCCCCTCGCTGTTCTACTTACCTTTGCAGACTCGGAAGGCTTCAAAATGTTCCTTTTTTAGCGCTGTGTGAGCCAAAGAACACACTCGGTAGCAGACTCACAGAACCGGTAGCAGACTTCAGAGGATTTCACCCCTGCTGAGGTGACTGGGGCACCTTTTACAGCAGGTTCCAGTTTGCCTTCCAGATGATGCTCACCATTATCTCTGGGCAGCCACAGATAGCCAGGCCATGATGAGACACGCTGAGAGACTTGCTTTAGCCACATCTGGAGCAGAGCAAGCTCCCCAGTGATTCAGAAGCTTCTGTTTACTTATCTGCCTCTTTGAAGTTATAGTTTGTGGTTTGGATCTCCAGGACAACCTACTGAAATAATTAGCAGAGATACAATTCCAAAGTTCATCTTGAAGAACATATTGTTTAAACCAACTCAGGTTGGATTAATCAAGCAGAACAGAAATGTCTCAACTGCTAAGAACTGTTTATTCAACAGGATAGTTTTGAAAGTTTGAAAGTTTATTAAATTTCTATACCGCCTTTCTCCTGAAGGACTCAGGGCAGTGTACAGCCATATTAAAAACACATAGATTTATAAAATTTAAAACCAATTAAAATCAAATATATAAAATTGGCCCTCAGTTTAAAAAGACACATACACCCATTTAAAATTCATATTATAGGATGTTAAATACAGTGGAGAGAAAGGGAGGAAGAAAGGCAGCCTTTCTGATCACACTTATGTTTAATTGCAATAATGGGTGCTTTGAGGGGGTTATCGGGAAACCGGGTGTTATCAGTTGCCAAGATAGTCCAGGACAGTGGTGGGTTCCTCCCGGTTCCGCTCGGTTCCGCTGAGCCGGTAGCAGTGACAATATGACGTCACCAAACCGGTTCTGCCCCCCCGCCCCCCTCTGCGCTATTCTTACTTTTTATTTGGCCCCACCCCCAATCTATTGCTGCCTCCTGAGTCCTAGCTGATCTGCTAGAAGGAAAAAAGCTGTTTAAACTCTTGCCATGGGGCTTCAAAGGGCCGCCCTACAGCTGATCAGTGTTAAAAGGCAATGTGGTGGTAGACCAGTGCCTCCAAAAACAGATGAGTAGACCGGTGCCTGCAAAAATAAATAAGTAGACCAGTGCCTCCAAAAACAAATGAGTAGACCAGTACAGCTCTGCAAGCAGTTAAAAGCCTGGTAGACCAATACCTCTGCTAAATCCTAAAGAATTGTCATATGACCATCAAGCCATGCCTACAAAATAAGCCATGCCCACAGAACCAGTAGTAAAAAATTTTAGAACCCACCCCTAGTCCAGGATCCACTAAACCATTTTTAACCTTTCTGGGAAGAAAGGTCTTTCTAAAAATGCAATAAAAATAAATTATAATGAATGATGATCTTATAATGAATGACACACGATCTTTTCCTTTGTAGGCAACCCGCCTAACGCCAGGGTCAAAAACTCAATTACCTGGATTATCCTCATACTATTCATCATTCAGATTGCGGGGTTGGTAACCACCATCTTCGTTTTTACAAGTGAGTGACACCCTCGTGTTCCATATCGATCTACCCAAGTTCCATCCTTTTTTAGAATAACTTAATACAGGTAGTCCTCAACTTACAACCATTTGTTTAGCAATCGTAAATCGAGGACCTTTGAAAGAAAATATCCCAGTCCTGAATCCTCCACCTTAACAAAAGGATCCAGGATCAGTGTGAGAAGAAGATCAAGGCAGCCATGTCTTCAGTTCAGACCTATGGACTCTGGAAAGAGTGGCTTATGACCGTTTTTCACACTTACGACCATTGCAGCATCCTCCTGGTCATTTTATGATCAAAATTCAAATACTTGGCAATTGACTCACATTTATGATGATTGCGGCATAGCGGTGTTATGCAATCCCCTTCCGCGACCTTCTGACAAGCAAAGTCAATGGGGAAGCCAGATTCACTTACCAAATATTATTACTAACTTAACAACTGCAGCGACTCACTTAACAACTGTGGCAAGAAAGATCATAAAATGGGGTAAAACTCACCCAACAACTGTCTAGTTTAACAATGGAAATGTTGGGGTTCAGTTGTGGTCCTAAATCGAGGATTAACTGTAATATTGTATGCACCATTAATGTTACTACGGTAACATCACAACTGCAGTGATTCACTTAAAAACTCTTGCAAGCAAGGTTGTAAAACGGGGCAAATCTCGTTTAACTGTCTCATTTAGCAACAGAAATGTTTGTCTCCGTTACATCGAGGGCTACCTGTATCTTATCCATGTATACATTGATTACAGTTTTGTTTCCCAAAATGTTTAGAATAACTTCTCACATAACAGGCATGGTGGTTTACTTTGCAGTGTACACATTGGAGAGGTTAATTTATGTGTTGTGTTGTGGCCCGTCAGCGGCCTGTGCAGCTAGTAGCTGATTCCAACAGCGAGGAGGCTGGTGTGGTGCTGCGTCAGCAGCCTGTGCGGCTGGCACTCGAGTCAGACAATGAGCAGGCTGGAGAAGATGTGGTGCCAGAGGCGGGGATTCAGCCAGGGCCTTCAGAACCTCCAGAAGCTCCTTTAAGTGAAGATGAAGAAGAGGAGGAGCCTCTTCTCGATGCACAGGTGCACAGAGTTGCCAAAAGGCAGGAGTGGCTCCTCAGGAGGAGGTCTCCTCGAGGGTAAGGCTTGGGGCTAATTGGCCACTCCCTTAGCTTATTTAAGGAAGGACGACGACTGAGGCAATTTGCAGGGAACAACTTTGTTCACTCTCCTTCGCGTCTGGATCTTAGTTCTCTTATCAGTTTCCTGCAAATTGCTTCTGGGCTTTCTGCCAACCATAGTAAGATTACGATTATTTATTCTTTGGATTCTTGTAGGCTGTTAAGAAAGTTAATTAACAGCCTTTGTTTGAAAAAGACTGATTTAATTTAGTAAACCAAGGTTTGTACAGACTTTGAGTGTGCTGCGTTCTTTGGGGTCCGTAGCTGGGGCAGAACATATTGGTTCTTCCGTTGTTTCTCTTTCTTACGCTGGAGAACATCCCTCATAATGCAAGCAGGCAGTTGCTTAGAGCAGAGAAGTGTTCCTTGCTTTTCCTGTGTTGTCATTCGGTGGAAATCTCATCCAGAAAGCCCAAAAGACTATAGTTAGAATCCAAGCAAACTTTTTATTTTGGGAAATACTGTATATTGGAAGAAATGTCCATCTGGGTTCAGTTCCAAGCGGGGAGAAAGACACTGGAAACATGGAGGCTGATTGGAAAGAGGGTTTAATGGTGAAGCAGAATCACGTAGGTTTTAGGTCCTGGGCAGCTGACCACATGGAATGGAGAGTGAGAGTTATTTATACCAGGGGTGAAATTCACTTACCTTCCCTACTGGTTTGCAAATGTGCGCATGTACGTCATTCACACATGTGCAAAGCCTTCTGTGCATACGCAGAGGCTGAAAATCATCGCAAAACAGGGACGTCATGACGTCCGCGTTGGTGGGCGGGGCTTCGTGCAGTCAGCCCTACCATATCACACGATCCGATAGGAACCAGCTGAATTTCACCCCTGATTTACACCCTTTCTTGGGCCTTGCCCTTGAGCTTCCTGTTCCTGTGCAAGCTATTGGCTGCTGTAGGGGCTTATAGCTAACCTTGTAGGTTTTCTGAGCCAAGCTTGGTTGAAACTTGGGCTGATGCGATGAAGGGGCTTGTTGTGCTTCTTGTTCCTATTGCAGCTGAATGGCTTTTCCCTGAAGGATAATCCCATCATCCTGGAGCTGAAAGTCTTTTGTTTTGTAGATAGGCTGGCCCAGTCTTTCTTAATGGGCACCAGGGGTGAAATGCTCCCGGTTCGGACCGGATCACCCGATCCAGTAGCGATGGAGGCAGGCGGTTCGGAGAACCGGTAGCAAAAATCCCTGCCGCCACCCCATGCCCAGCTGAGCCGCGCAATCATCAGAGGCTTTTTTTTTTTTTTACTGTTAAAAGCATTTTTTCTACAACCTCTTCAGGGGTTGTAGAAAAAATGCTTTTAAAAGCCTCTGATGATCCTAGCTGAGTTGCCTGATCGGCAGAGGCTTTTAAAAGAAAAAAAGCCTCTGCTGATCAGGCAACTCAGCTGGGATCGTCAGAGCCTTTTGAAAGCCCTTTTTTTACAACCTCTTCACCAAAGAGGTTGTAGAAAAAATGGTTTTAAAAGTAAAAAAAAAAAAAATTGGCCACACCCACCCAGTCATATTAACCCCACACCCACCAAGCCACGCCCACAGAACCAGTAGTAACAAATTTTAGATTTCACCACTGATGGGCACCAAATACCTGCTAGGGGGGCAGGGAGCTGAAGTTCTGAGTTTCTGTCTCCCTTAAGATTTCCATTTCTCTTATAGGGGGAAATATAATATTCTGCCTTTTTAAATATTTCTCAAAATATTTTGTTCTTCTAGGAGGGGGTGACTTCCCTTATGTAACAGTGAATCCCTGAACTCTGCACACAGTTTAGAGAATATCAGAGTTAAGGGTACAAGGCCTTCTTGTTTTTGCAGCAAATCCTTGTTGAAATAAATATTTTTGTAACTGGGAAGGAAAGAATGTGAGGCGACTTTAATGATTCCTGTCCAGGCAGATTGCTCAGCTCCAGCAGCCGTTTATCTGGCCTGCCTCCTTATCTGACATCTGTGTCAAACTAAGGTCATGAAAGGGAGGCTAAGATGCTGTCTGTTCAAAATAAAACTGCCCAGAATTACACTATTACGGAAAAGGTTCTTAAAATCCACTTTATAATCACGCTACCGGTATGAAAATTCTCAGCAACTGATTTTATTTTTGCAAAATCAAGCCCCAAATGCTTGTTTTTAATTATTATTCCTAGATTCCCAGGATCATAATTTGAGACAATAATTTATTTCGGGGTTGTTTTGCTAAAAGAAGTTATTTGTCTTTGGCTCATGACAGTGTTTACTGTTTTTCCTGTAAGGACATCATTTTTGCGGGAAGGATTTTGAGATGTTGGTGTTCAAATACAGGTAGTCCTCGACGTACAACAGTTCATTTAGTGACCAAAGTTGCAACGGCACTGAAAAAAGTGACTCACGACCGTTTTCCACAGTTACAATCTTTGCAGCATCCCCATTTTGACCATGTAATCAAAATTCAGGCGCTTGGCAACTGGTTCATACTTATGAACAGTCTCAAGGTCATGCCCTTTTGGGACCTTCTGACAAGCAAAGTCAATGGGGAAGCCAGATTCACTTAACAACCGGGTTACTAACTTATCAACTGCAGTGATTCACTTAACAATGGTGACAAGAAACGTTGTAACATGGGGGAAAAATTCATTTGACAAATGTTTCACTTAACAACATAAATTTTGGGCTCAATTGTGGTCCTAAGTTGGAGACTACCTGTAAAATCTTTCCCCTAATTCTGTAATAATAACAACAATGTGGCAAAAGAAACTTTCCCCTAAATACAGTGCCAATATTGCGAGGAAACCAGGGGTGAAATGCTCCCGATTTGGACTGGATGGCCTGATCCGGTAACGAAGGAGGCGGGTGGTTCGGAGAAACGGTAGCAAAAATCCCTGGGGCCCCCCCATGCCCAGCTGAGCCGCACAATCATCAGAGGCATTTTTTAATTTTTAAAAGCATTTTTTCTACAACCTCTTCAGCTGAAAAAATGCTTTTAAAAGTTAAAAAAAAAAGCCTCTGATGATCCCAGCTGAGTTGCCTGATGGGCAGAGGCTTTTAAAAGAAAAAGAGCCTCTGCCGATCAGGCAATTCAGCTGGGATCGTCAGAGCCTTTTGAAAGCATTTTTTTACACCCTCTTTGCCGAAGAGGTTGTAGAAAAAATGGTTTTAAAAGTTTTTTTTTTAATGGCCACACCCACATTACCCCCCCCCCCAAGCCACGCCCACAGAACCGGTAGTAACAAATTTTAGATTTCACCACTGGAGGAAGCCCAAAACAACTGGAGCACCACTTGAATATTATCATTATTGACAAAATCTCAATTGCAGACAGCTTTAATTGGAAATGGGATGCGGTGGCTCACTGGCTAAGGCGCTGAGCTTGTCAATGGAAAGGTCGGCAGTTCAGTGGTTCGAATCCCTAGTGCTGTGTAACAGGGTGAGCTCCCGTTACTTGTCCCAGCTTCTGCCAACCTAGCAGTTGGAAAGCACGTAAAAAATGCAAGTAGAAAAATAGGGACCACTTTGGTGGGAAGGTAACAGCGTTCTGTGCGCCTTTGGTGTTTAGTCATACTGACCACAGGACCACGGAGACGTCTTTGGACAGCGCTGGCTCTTCGGCTTTGAAACGGAGATGAGCACCGCCCCCTAGAGTCAAGAAAGACTAGCACATATGTGCGAGGGGAACCTTTACCTTTGCCTTACTTGGAACAGTGAGAATATCTGTAATATCTTCAAATGCCTTCAAACCACAACTGCCTATCTCATGTCCTTGGGAAGGATTCAATAGGCACCGAATCCAGTCTAAACATTTGGCTGACTGTGCAATGAACTACGATAATAATCTGTTTATTTGTCCCTCTTCGTTCTTATTGCTCGGTGGTTGTCCTTGTTTACAGCTGAACGTAAATCAAACCCTATGTTAGGTCTGTTCAACCAACTGTAGTTTTAAAAAAAAAACTTGGTTTAGTGTAATGGGAGGTCAGCCTGATGATGACCAATGGAACTATCATTATACCGATAAGGCCAGGCAAGGAAACTTGTAGTCTCTCTGTTTGCAAACTATCAAAAATTTGTTTAAGGAAATAGTAAGTAAGGCAATAAAATGAAATGAAAATACCTACAGTCTTTGACGTACATCAGTTTGTTTAGTGACCATTCAAAGTCATAACAGCACTGGAAAAAGTGACTTATGATCATTTTTCACACTTATGATTGTTGAGGCATCCCCAATGGTCACATGACCAAAATTCAGATGCTTGGCAAGTGGCTCGTATTTATGACGGTTGCAATGTCCCAGGGTCACATGATCCCCTTTTGCGACCACCTGACAAACAAAGTCAATGGGAAGCCAAATTCACTTAACAACTGTTTTTTTTTTTTTTAATTTGATTTATATGCCGCCCTTCTCCGGAGACTCAGGGCGGCTTACAATGCGCTAAGCAATAGCCTTCATACTTTTGTATATTTATACAAAGTCAGCTTATTGCCCCCACAACTGGGTCCTCAATTTACCTACCTTAGAAAGGATGGAAGGCTGAGTCAACCTTGAGCCTGGGGAGATTCGAATTTACAGTAATTGCAGACAGCTGGTGTTAATCCCAATGCTATCAGTCTGCTGAGCCACCAGGCCCTTAACTGTGGCAAGAAAGGTCGTAAAATGGAACAAAACTCACCAATTGTCTCACTTAGCAACAGAAATTTTGAGCTAAATTGTGGTTGTGAGTTGAGGGTTACTGGCTCTTAAACTTCAGGGCTTTGAGAATTGCCCCTTTCTGACTATATCTAAAAGGATTGTCTTTATTTGTTTTAATTAAAAAAAAAAGTTTACAAGCCACCTAGAGTCATTCAAAAAGTCAGACAGCCTCAACATTTGATTAAATAAATACATATTCCAACTAGACATTTTACTGTGTTTTAATGCACAGTTAAAGCATAAATTAATATGGAATACATTTAAATGTAATTACTAATTAAAGTATCAAACTCTTTCTAATTGCTACAGGCTTGATATAATTACTAGATGGAATGCTCACTGGTGGAAACGGTCCGAAGTGGGTGGGGAAAGAAGCTAAATGACAGTCGAGACAGCAAATGGAGTGTATCTCTTCAACCAATCACAATGCATCCTATGATGTCATAGGATAGGACATCTTTCCATCCTGTTGCATATTAATAGTTATCAGGGCCACATCAAAATCCATTAACGCACACTTTTTTTCAATTGAATTATTTTTCTCCAGATATTTAGACTTTTTGTAATTCCCAGGAACAGCCTATGTAGCACCAATCATGATTTAGGAATTATGATCCAGCATATCTGGAGGATAACAAATCAGAAAAAAATTGAGCTCAACATCCTAGGGGGAAAGGTGAAGGAGAACATCAAAACAACATAAGCTTTTTCTACTGTCTCTTTTATATCCTGTGTTTCTAAAGCAATGTTTCCCAAATTTAGCAACTTTGCTAAAGACTTAGGAAACTGAGATGTGGACCAAACTCCCAGAATTCTCATCAGTGGCCATGTTGAATGTGGAATTCTGGGAGCTGAATTTCATACACCTAGAAATTCACCAAGTTGAAAAATATTCTTCTAAATCGGGGGGAGGGGACTATGGCCCTTTTATGTCTTGTGGACTTCAATTCCCAGAATTCCTGAGCCAGCCATGCTGAGGAATTCTGGGAGTTGAGCTCCATGCTGGCTCAGGAATTCTGGGAGTTGAAGTCCACAAGTCATAAAGGGGCCGTAGTTCCCCATCTCTGTTCCTAAGGCAGTGGTGAAATCCAAACTTTTTTACTACCAGTTCTGTGGGTGTGGCTTGGTGGGCGTGGTGTGGCTTGGTGGGCATGGCAGGGGAAGGATACTGCAAAATCCCCATTCCCTCCCCACTCCTGGGGGAAGGATATTGCAAAATCCCCATTCCCACCCCACTCTAGGGCCAGCCAGAGGTGGTATTTGCCGGTTCTCCGAACTACTCAAAATTTCCACTACCGGTTCTTCAGAACCGGTCAGAACCTGCTGGATTTCACTCCTAAAATGAGGGTAATAATCTATTAAATCATGTGAATTTGTATTTACAGAAGCTAAACCTCAGTTGCCTTCTGCTGCTGCCACCACTTCCTGTTGCCCAACGGGCTGGCAGATGTCCCAAGGGAACTGCTACCATGTTTTGGAAACCCAACAGAGCTGGAATGCTAGTCAGAATCGTTGTCTCTCCCTTGGGGCCACCTTGGCTGTTTTTGGGGATCTAGAGAAACTGGTAAGAGAAGAATCTGTCAAAATTGTTATCTGCAGTTCTGCTCAAGCAGGCCTTGCCTAATGTCTACTCTTTCACTATTTTATGAAATAAGAACCTGCCATTATACCTCCAGGATGCGTGAGGGATTTAAATCTCTTTCCAGTGTTGAGATGTAGCTTTATTCTCTGTACCCCAGAAGCAGATTGTGTCATTCAAGCAAATCCAGATACTGGATTTTCTGCAGAGTGTGAACATGTGCTAAAACATGTTGGCAGGGATAGCCAACACCCTAGATCAGGGGTGTCAAACCCGCATTGTCACGGTGGTGTCATGTGATGTATTGGGACTTTTCCCCCCTTCGCTAAACCGGGCGTGGGCGTGGCCAGCGCAGGACATATCCTGCCCACGGACCGGGAATTTTACAACGCTGCCCTAGATGATAGGCTCAAGATCCAGATGTATCTTGACAGACTTGACCACTGGGCACTAACAAAATGAAATTCATGTAGAGAAAAGTAAAATCTTACACTTAGACAAGAAAAACCAAAAGTACACATATAGATTGGGAGAAACCAGGCTTAATAGCAGTAATTGGGAGAGGGATCTTGGAGTCTTAGTGGACAACCCGTTAAATATGACCCAACAGTTTGCAGCGGCAGCCAAAAAAGCTAATGCCATTCTAAATTCCATTAACAGAGGGATACAATCAAGATCAAGGGAGATACAAATACCACTCTTAGTAAGGCCACACCTAGAGTACTGCATCCAGTTTTGGTCACCACACTATAAAAAATATGTTGAGATTCTAGAAAAAGTGCAGAGAAGAACAACAAAGATGATTAGAGGACTGGAGGCTAAAACATACAATGAATGGTTGCAGGGACTAGTCTAGTGAAGAGAAGGACCAGGGGGGACATGATAGCCATGGAGAAGCAGTGGTTAGAGTGCAGTACTGCAGGCTACTTCTGTAGATCACCAGCTGCCAGTAGTTTGGCAGATGGAATCTTACCAGGCTCAAGGTTGACTCAGCCTTCCATCCTTCCGAGGTGGGTAAAATGAGCACCCAGATTGTTAGGGGGCAATATGCTGACTCTGTAAACTGCTTAGAGAGGGCTGTAAAAGCACTATGAAGTGGTATATCAGTCTAAGTGCTATTGCTATTGCTATAGCAGTGTTCCAATATTTGAGGGGCTGCCACAGAGAGGAGGGAGTCAACCTATTTTCCAAAGCACCTGAGGGCCAGACAAGGAACAATAGATGGAAACTGATCAAGGAGAGATTCAACCCAGAAATAAGGAGAAACTTTCTGATAGTGAGAACAATCAACCCATGGAACAGAAGCTGCCTTCAGAAGTTGCGGAGCTTCATCACTGGAATCTTTCAAGAAGAGACTGGACTGCCATTTGTCAGAAATGGTTTAGGGTCTCCTGCTTGGGTGGGGGGTTGGACTAGATGACCAATAAGGTCCCGTCCAACTTTATTCTGTTATGTGTACGCACACATACATGTATGAAGAGTGATGATGAAGAGGTACTTATGTCCTTCTGCAGAGTGCAGAACTCAATTTCCAAAATGTTCTGAAACCCATAGTTTTTTTTTTCCCTTTTCCTTTTTAACTTAAAAAACAAACAGATTGGTGATGTGACTGTCAGAGAGCCCTTTAACCACTGGATTGGCCTCCACCGAAGTTCTGAAGACAGATGGAAATGGCCAGATGGGACTCTATTCAAAAACCTGTAAGTTCTTCCTACCATCATTTGCGACATTCCCAACTGACTACCAACAAGGAAAATCAAGGGAGGGAGATAGAGCATTGATTCGTTTAACAACCACAGCAAAAACAGGTCATAAAATTGGGTGCAATGATGTGATGACTCATTTAATCCCCGCATCGCTTGGGGACTGAAGTTCCACTCCAAGTGCGGTCATAAGTCAAGGACTACCTGTATTGTGCAAACAAATCCTGCGCTGCTTTAATTTTTTTTGCGATCACTTTACACAGGGGGTCCTCGACTTACATCGGTTCACTCAGTGACCGTTCAAAGTTGCAACGGCACTGAAAAAAAGTGACCTATCTTATAACTCAATAAAAAATCTTTAAAAAGTGACTTATGACCGCTTTTCACTATTACAACCATTGCAGCGTCCCCATGGTCACGTAATCAAAATTCAGACGCTTGGCAACTGACTCATATTTATGACGGTTGCAGTGTCCTGGGGTCACACGATAAAACTTTTTGTGACTTTCTGACAAGCAAAATCAATGGGGAAACCAGATTCGCTTAACAACGGTGGCAAGAAGGGTCCTAAAATGAGGCAAATTTACTTAACGAGTGTTTCGCTTAACAACAGGAATGTTGGGCTCAGTTACGGTCGTAAGTCGAGGGCTACCTGTACTCTGAGAATACCATCTCTTGTTAATGCATTCTCCTCCTGGTGTTTCTCGGGGCCTGTCTTAAGCACTTTGGATAAGAAATGCAACTTTACGGAAACCCTTTGCAGAAAATTACAAATGCCAGCAACTTTCTATTGCTTTGCAGCTTCGAAGTGGAAGGAGACGGACGCTGTGCTTATTTGAAGAACAGAGCGGCGAGCAGCGGTGATTGTGCCATCGGGAAGAAAGGACTGTGCAGCCTGAAAGGGTTAATGAAACACAAACTCTGCCCGGCGACATGACCTCTGAAGAATTCCTTCCGCACCAAAAAGGGAGCCGGAGCCCTTCACTGCCACTGTGTGTTGGGCGTGCATGCACCACAATAAATTTCTGTGGGTGGCCTTCCTTTTTCATCCATGCAGGAGATAAAACATTTTTACAGAGTATAACTAACAAAAACTGACTAGACTGAGGGGGGGAAAAATAAAAGTGATGTAAGACAAGATCTTAACACATTTTAAGGTTGGGGGTTCCCCCCTGCCCCCCCAATACGGGTTGCGATCCTAAATATGTTTTTCGGGGGAGACCACCCCTTGAATTTAGAGGGATTTTACTCCCAAGTAAATTAGAAATCTATTTTAAGATTATATTCACGCTGTGTGTTTTGGTACATATGCGCTCTAGCTGGATTGAGAGTGCTCTGCTACCTCACTTTTTTTTTTCTCCTTTAGTTAAAAGCAATGCAAATTTGGAGAAGGAATACTTTAAAACACTAGTCAATTTTGAGTAATTGTGTGGCCAGACTAGGCTAAAATGGGTCAGGGGTAGATTGTGATTCAGTGTGTTGTAGGACACCCGGCTGTTAGCTTTTGCATGTGGTGTGAACTGGGTTACCAAGCCCTAGGACTGCATGTTTGTATGGAATTTAATACATTGGATGACCCCAACCAGAGGCTCAAAATCTTTAAATCGACCAAAGCAATCCCTTAATTGTAAAATCTCATGATCCTGATGTTTCAGACCCAACGTCAGAAGCAGAGGTGGGTTTCAGCAGGTTCTGACCAGTTCTGGAGAACCGGTAGCAGAAATTTCGAGTAGTTCGGAGAACCGGTAGTAAAAATTCTGACTGGCCCTGCCCCCATCTATTCTCTGCCTCCCGAGTCCCAGCTGATCGGGAGGAAATGGGGATTTTGCAGTAATCTTCCCCTGAAGTGGGGTGGGAATGGAGATTTTACAGTATCCTTCCCCTGCCATGCCCACCAAACCACGCCCACCAAGCCATGCCACACCCACCAAGCCACACCCACAGAACCGGTAGTAAAAAAATTTGAAACCCATCACTGGTCAGAAGTAACCTCATGTTTCAGCAACAGAGAACTGTAAATCATCATATAATCAAGTCAAGCTTCTCCATGCCTGGAGAATACATCTGCCCTTTTCCATAAAGGAATATCAAACATAGAATAACAGAGATGGAAAGGACCTTGGAGGTCTTCTAGTCCAACCCCCTGTTCAGGCAGGAAAGCCTACACCATTTCAGACAAATTGTTTGTCCAGTCTCTTTTAAAAACCTCCAATGATGAAGCACCCACAACTTCTGGAGGCGAGTTGTTCCACTGATTAATTGTCTCTAGCTGCCAGGAAATTTCTCCTTAATTCCATGTTGTTTCTCTCCTTGATTAGTTTCCACCTATTGCTTCTTGTCTTGCCCTCAGGTGCTTTGGAGAATAGGTTGACTCCCTCTTCTCTGTGGCAGCCCCTGAGATACTGGAACACTGCTATCATGTCTCCCCTAGTCCTTCTTTTCATCAAACTAGACATACCCAATTCCAGCAACCGTTCTTCATATGTTTTAGCATCCAGTCCCCTAATCCTCTTTGTCGCTCTTCTCTGCACTCTTTCTAGAGTCTCAACATCTTTTTTTACATCAGGGTGACCAAAACTTTCCATCCATTGCTTCTTGTTCTGAACACAGAAGCTTGTTCTATGTTCAGAGCATAGAAACTGAAACTCTTTATATTTTCCTGCCAACCCATTACTTAGACACTGATATCCCTTGCACAGGGAAATCTATGTGATCTATGGCAAGAATGCAGCAGCCGAAGCAAACAACAGTTTCGCAATGTCGGACAAGTGGTAACGGAGCACCAGAAGGTATTCTCGCTCTGTAACCTTTGAGTCTAGCAGAGGGAACATTTCCTAGAAGCTTAAGGCAGTCTGGCAGGCGGTGTTCCTGTCTCATATTCGGACATTGGGCGCGTAGTTGCAATAGGGAGGGTATCAGTTACTCTGGCAAACACGGATACCCAATAAGATGGTTCAACATGCAAACGCTGCCAAGGAGAAGAGAGCTGATAACGGCATCCCTGCCGAGAGTCTGCCTCAGTCTTTCTTTCTCGCATCTGTGTCTGAATGGGTTGGTTGCCCATTAAGCAGGAAGAAGCAACTCCAGATTTAGGATGGCCTGTGGGCCTTATTGAATAGGAAAATATGTGGCACGGACAGAGTGTGGATGTCAGGTGAGTATGTGATTTGTGTAGCTCACAAATGAAAAAGAGATCAAACCAAGGCAGAAGGGAAGACGAATCCTCTTAAAATATGTTGGTTTAACCCAGTGTTCCTCAACCTTAGTGAGTTGAAGATGTGTGGACTTCAACTCCCAGAATTCCCCAGTGTATCCTACTTATGTTTGGCTCTGACTTTTTTCTCCCCTTTGCTTCAGGCTCACAGACCATGCACTGATGCATGCATACACACACACACACACTCAAAGGTGCCTTTTTCAAGAGGCAACGGGATGGACATTCTGGTTTTTCTTTGAAGACGTTTCGCTTCTCATCCAAGAAGCTTCTTCAGCTCTGGATGTTTCTCGGATTGCTTCTTGGATGAGAAGCGAAACATCTTCAAAGAAAAACCAGAAAGTCCATCCCGTTGCCTCTTGAAAAAGGCACCTTTGGGACAACCATGACCTGGATGACTTGAGAATCTACACACACACACAAAAAACACAAATACCAGATTGCCTCTGATGAAAAAAAACAATCCTTGGTAGAAAAAAACCATGATCCAACCTTATTACAAAGGATTTGGAAAGAAGCTAGTTAAATGCATAAAAGGGTTTTGGGTTTTTTTTAGGTTTTAAAAAGATAAAAGACATATTAGCAAATCTTTACAGGCAGTCCTTGACTTACAACCATTCATTTAGGGATCATTCAAAGTTACAACAGCAGTGAAACAAGTGACTTATGACCAGTGGTGGGATTCAGCCAGTTCGCACCTATTCGGGAGAACCGGTTGTTAACTTTCTAAGCAGTTCGGAGAACCGGTTGTTGGAAGAAATCTCATTTTGGTTTTTTTCCACTTTACAGGGCTAATCCTGTAAGGAAGGCAGGACGGAAACATTCTGGTGTTATTTCTAGCCTAATCTTTATTGCCCTGTTTACAGAAACTGCCTCTCCAGTTAACCCTTATTACATTGTAACAGCTAAGGCGAAGCGCCCTTCGACATAAGTGACATTGAGTTGGCCACGCCCACTCAGTCACATGACCACTGAGCCACGCCTACCCAGCTGGTCATTAGGGCAAAGAACCGGTTGTTAAATTATTTCAATCCCACCACTGCTTATGGCTGTTTTCCACATTTAATGGCCATTGCAGCATCCCCATGGTTATATGGCCAAAATTTGGGTGTTTGGCAACTGGCATGTATTTATGACAGCTGCAGTGTGATCATCTTTTGTGACCTGACAAACGAAGTCAATGGGGAAGCCAGATTCACTTTGCAAATGTGTTACTAACTTAACAACTGCAGTGATTCACTTAACAAGTGTGGCAAGAAAGGTCATAAAATGGGGCAAAACTCACTTAACAATTGTCTCATTTAGCAACAGAAATGTTGGGCTCAATTGTGGTCATAATTTGAGATTACCTCTATTCAGGAAGAAATAAATGAATGTATGGGATTTTTAAAAAAACTGTTAAAGGTACGCCTTGTTTTGTTTCCTATTGTTCATGCTAGGGCTAATTTTTTGTAATGTAGGAGACAGGACACCCTTTGGTCACTGAAAAAAAACCCTTCCCTGGTTAAAAATATTATCACTTTTTAGAGGGGATATCTTGAAATGGCTGTGATCCAAATATACAGAAGCTTTTAGAATATCTTTAGAGGAATAGTTCAGCTCATGCCACAGGTATGAAAGCCTAGATGACTTGTTTGATGAATTATATTTGCACCTTTACGGCTGTCATATCTGGGCTGCAAAAACTCAGAAGACCACAGAACAGATTTTGCAGGCCGGATATGATTGCTTAACAGTTTGCTTGATTTTGACTTAGTAGGGTCTCTGAATCCAGGCATTTTGGTTTATAAACCATGATCCATGACTTATCCTGGAAAACCAACTAAGTGCGTTTTAATCAGTTTAGTAACATTCTGTTTAATAAGGCCACAAGTACCTGAGTTTACAAAATGTTAAACCGGGATTAATGTATGAACCGAGCCATTGACATGAGAAGGGTTTTTTTTTACACATGCTAAGCTACGGATTGTGGAACTGTGATCTATTGAGGGCTTCACATATACTGACACAAAAACCATGACTTATACTTTACAATGGCTAGATTTGTAAGGCCGGTTAAACTACAGAACAAGCAAATGGAGATTTCAGAATAGAATAACAGATTTGGAAGGGACCTTGGAGATTTTCTAGTCCAGCCCCCTGTTTAAGCAGGAGACTTTAAATCATTCCAGACAAGTGGTTGTCCAGTCTCTTCTTAAGAGCCTCTAGTGATGGAGCACCCAAAACTTCTGGAGGCAAGCTGTTCCACTGGTTAATTGTTCTCACTGTCAGGAAATTTCTCCTTAATTCCAGGTTGCTTCTCTCCTTGATTAGTTTCTATTCATTGTTCCTTGTCTTGCATTCTGATGCTTTGGAGAATAGCTTGACTCCCTCTTCTTTGTGGCAGCCCCAGAAATACTGGAAGACTGCTATCATGTCACCCCTGGTTCTTCTTTTCACTAGACTAGCCATACCCAATTCCTGCAACCGTTCTTCATATATTTTAGCCTCCAGCCCCCCTAATCGTGTTTTTGTTCTTCTCTGCACTCTTTCAAAGTTTGGAGGCAGTATTCCAGGTGTGGAATAATCCATGGTGGAATAATCAAGGCATGTTTTGGCTGAATGTGGTTCATTCTAAACTACAAATCGCCTGCATCTGGAGGCCGCCTCTAAACCAGTCATTGTAATGAAGATAGCATAGCCTTGAGACTTCTCTGTATCTGTTGTTGAGGCTTTCCAAATCACAGAAACTTATTATGCCTCAACCAAGGTCATGAGAATGATTAGTACTTGCCATATTTGGGTGTCTCATGGACCTGTTTGTTCACCCTGTGCATAATCTGTATTGAAACAGACAAACCTGACATTTAGATGAGTGGCGACATTTTAGGTAGGAAGCAGATCCTAAAGTAAGTCCTCTTTCTACTTTGCCCAGACCAAAAATGGGTGGGTGGTATGAAGGTCTCCAAACTCATTTGAGGTCCAGGGAACTCAGCAAGGCAGCTACTGAGTTTGCAGGAGCCAAAATATCAAATCTGTCAAATTGAGAATTTATTGCAGTGCGAAAGAACTAAGTGGAGGGAGCGGTCATACCTACATTTGGCCACCAGGAGGCAGCATGTGATAATCTTGAGATATTCCTGGTTGTGAAAGGGCCAAAGAATTATATAATTCAGTATAATATAATATACAATAGACAGTGTTTTTTCCATTCCTTTTAAAGAAAATCAGACAGAATCCTACATTAGAGAAACAAAATCTTAGCATACTGGAAAGTTAAAATGATAGCAGCTGGAATTCTTTTTTTTTTTTTTAAACCTGAGGTAAATACCGGCTATCAAATCATATCAAATATAATATAATATAATGTTCCGATGATAAAGGTAGCC